ACCTAGGACACTCCGGCTAACTTAATTATAATGGAGTCCATCCCTTTCCTCATTCCAAACAAACATCCATACATATGCAATGTATTTAAACATATAACTAGACATAAAGCACATCTCCTTTTCTACTTCCAAACAAATATACATACATATACAGTGTATATAAACATGGTCATATTCAATGACAATTATCAAAAGATTAGTTTCAATTCACCTAATCAACATGCAATTTCTACAACAATCAAAGTTATTCTCCATCAATAGCCCAATACAGTTATCTCTAAACAGATATTCAATCTCAACAGATAGTGTATTCAAAACTTCCAAAAGCATGAGTTAATACATAACCAATTTCACCATTCATATCAAGGCCCTCTCAATTTCATATTTTCAATGTTAATTCCAATTATTTATATAAATAAATAGTTTAATCTAATTAGAGAAATTTTTTCCTTTTTTCCAAATATTAATCAAGTGCCAAAATCATCAAATTAGATATAACACAACATCATTTTCAAATCCCACAAGCATTTATTCCATCTTCACCCAAAACCCGTCTTTCCATTTTTGTACCCAAACCCTAGGTTTGTTTAAAACATCCCCAAATCACATCATTGTTACACAAGAGACAATAACTAAGCTAAATATCATATGAAGGTGCAGAAAGAATCCCTACCTCAAAGGAAGAAAATAAGCCAAACAAGAGAAAAACTCCAAGAATGCCGAAACCCATTTCTATTCGGATCAAAATGTAGATCTTGACAAGCTCTACCTTTTTCTCAAAGGCACGAGGGTGGAAATCTCAATGGATCTAGATAAAACCTAAGAAAGAATGTGAATTGTAGAGAGAGAGGCTCAAAACAAGTTTTTTGAAAAGTTTAAAAGAGAGAGAAAGAGATATAAAAAAAGTGATTCAAAATATCATATTCTCGGACTGTTATACGCGTAGTCTGCTCAAGCGTGGAAAGCCCCGCTCGAGCGTCAGATACAAGGTTTTGCTCGAGCGTGAAAAGTGGTGCTCGAGCGTAGGATACGCACTTCCAGAAGTTTTGCAGACAAAGGGCCCCGCTTGAGCGTGAGATTGGATGCTCGAGCATCCAATGCACACTTTCAGCATTTGCAGACCTGCAAAATGAATTACTGAGAGTTGACGAATCCCGTTCGAGCGCAAGAATGGCTGCTCGAGCGGAGGAACAAAATTTGTGAAGCCCGCTCGAGCGGAAGAACCAAAATCTGGGCAACAAAGGTTTGGAAAAACAAGCAACCAACCTGTCCCAAACGCACCACTACAACCCGATAACCAAAATAAAGGGAAAGAAATAAGAAAAACTATTCAAAACCATATCAACCGAGTCTGGAATACAATAAGTAATGGGTCGAAACCGGAATTGTTATATATGATACCATATCATTATAAGTACAATTGTGGGTGTTTTTTTGTGAGTTTCAAGCATTTTTCTTATTGTTCATCTAGACTTTTTAGCATTTGCAAAATATGGTGGATCCTGTTAATTTTTTTTTTTTTTAAATCTCAATTATCAATTAAACAAACTAAAATAAAAAATGAATTTTTTTTTGCTCAAATTGCTAAAAAGTGACTTTTGCTAAAACAAATATAAATAAATCTTATTTTTCTAATAAAAGTAATAGTTCAGGAAATATCTTTTTTTATTGGGCAAATTATATATTCCCCCTCGAGATTTAGCAAAATTACAGATACCCCCTGAGGTTTAAGAAATTACAAATACCCCCTGAAGATTATATTTTCATAACAAATTAGGGGACAAGTTGTTATGAAAATATAAATCTCAATGGGCAATTTGTTATAAAAATATAAACCTCAGGGGGGTATTTGTAATTTCCAAAACCTCAGGGGTATCTGTAATTTAGCTAAACCTCGAGGGAGGTATATGTAATTTGCCCTTTTTTATTTAAAAAAATGCAGGTTATAGGTGATAATTTAATGGGACTTACGTGTAGGTCCTACTAAGTAGATTTATTATCCAATAGATCCTATGATAATTAATGACATTTTTATCATACACTATTAAAAAACGTCACTAATTGTTACTTTTTAATGATAAAGAAAGTTTCAGATCGCGAAGAGAGAGAGAGAGAGAGTGAGTGAGTTTCATATCACAATGGTTTCAGATCACAAAATGAGAGGGTTGATTGCAAAAAGTGAAAGAGAGGGTTTTAAATCGCATCGCGATGGTTCACAACACCGGAGGAAAGGAAAGGAAATGAGAGAGAGAGAGAGAGAGAGAGCTAGCTGTGGTTCCCAATACCGGAAATCACCACTCTCTCTCTCTCTCTCAAAGTGAACAGTCACCTTTTGCTATTTATATAATAGCAATTTGGTAATATTTTAAATTGGTGAAGGGCATTTAAGTAATTTTGTCCCTCAAATGTCAGCTGCACGCTTAAGTTAAAAGAAAAAGCTTCACTTCTTCTATTCAAAGAAAAAATTGATTTTTAACTTATCAAAAATTATAATCTTTATTATTAAACTGAATCACACATATCAAAATAATTAAATTAAGGGATTTTGGGGTGTTCTAAATTAGTGTATTTTTTATCTTTTTAGATTAAAAAATTGAGAAAAAAATATGGGTGTTTAAGTTAAGTTTTTGACTTTTTATGAAAAAATGTGTATTAAAAATTTGTATAAATTAATGTGCAGGAAAAAATTAGAATTAAGAATTGTACAGCCGTAATTTTTGACTTTTAATAAATAGATATAATTTTTAATTTTTTAAATATTTTTTTAACATTTTAACAACTTGTCAAACTTAACCTAAGCTAAAAACTAAAATAAGTTACAAACAAGTCCTAGCAGACCTGAACTTTCTCTTTGATGGGATACCATTTGATTTTGCTTTTCGTAAGTGGGGGACGTTGACGGCCAAGTCAAGTCAAGTCAGTCAATTGAGCAATAGCTCAGAACTTTCTACAAATATATACATTAATAAAATAGTTTTTTTTTTTTTTTTTTATAAATTACACTGATATTTCTTGATATTTATATTTATTACAGTTCTTCCCCTCATTTTTTAAAAATTACATCTCTCCCTGAGATTTAAAGTTTTATTACAGATTCTCCCCTCAACAATTTAATTTTTTTAAATACCAATTTTGTCCTCATTGGATAAATTACATTGACACTCCTTACATTTTAGAAATTACAATCTCCTTCCTAAAGTCTAAAGTAGTATTACCAATTACCCCTTTGGTTAGTATTAGTTGAAAAAAAAAATTCATTGAAAAAAAAAATTATTTAAAAAAAAATTTAATTGAATAACAAAATTTTAAAATTTTTGTTTAAAAACAAACGAAACTCATTTTTTAAATTTACATTTTTTCCTCAAATTTACAAATTGAGACAACCATTTATAAACTAAAAAAATTATCAAATAAGTTTTTATGATAGTTTTTAAAATTTTTATAAATATAAATTGAAAACTGAAAAGAAAATGGTTACCAAATAGGCCTCAGATGGTAAAAATATCGTAAAATTAACAAATAATTAAATAAGTTATCAACATAAGAAATGACATATCAAAAGATTCTTAGGCTATGTATGGTTTGATTTTTAGAAAAAAAAATTTAAAAATTAAAAATTAATTTGGTTAAGAAATAAAAAATAATTATCATTTAACGGTAAAAAATAATTATCATTTTAACTTTTGGGCAGGTTATATACATACGTATGGTTGTTTCAATTTAATTTGTAAAAAAATATTTCTAACCACTCGAAAGATAAAATTATATAAAAATGATAATTATTTTTTATTTCTTATTTCTTAACCAGATTCATTTATTATTTTTTAAAAAAATTTCTAAAAATCAAACCATAAGAATCTTTTGATAAGTCATTTCTTACGTTGATAACTTATTTAATTATTTGTTAATTTTACGATATTTTTACCATCTGAGGCCTATTTGGTAACCATTTCCTTTTCAGTTTTCAATTTATATTTATAAAAATTTTAAAAACTATCATAAAAACTTATTTGATAATTTTTTTAGTTTATAAATAGTTGTCTCAGTTTATAAATTTGAGAAAAAAAAACGTAAATTCAAAAAATGAGTTTACGTTGGTTTTTAAACAAAAATTTTAAAAATTGACTAACAAAAAAAAAATTCAAATAATTTTTTTTCCAATTAATTTTTTTTCCAACTAATACTAACCGAGGGAACAATTGGTAATACTACTTTAAACCTTAGGGAGGGGATTGTAATTTCTAAAATGTGAGGGGTGTCAATATAATTTACCCAATGAAGACAAAATTGGTATTTAAAAAAATTCAATTGCTAAGGGGGAATCTGTAATGAAACTTTAAACTTCCGGGGGAGATGTAATTTTCAAAAAGTGAGAAAAAATTGTAATAAATATAAACCTCAAGGGGGTGTAAGTGTAATTTACCCTTAATTTTTTAACTACAGCATCAATTTCTGCTTATATTCGAAATCAGAAATAACGCCAACATATAACTAAGGACACGCTTTACAGTTTTAATAATTAGATTTAGTTTTTATTAAATTTTATTAAAAATAAATTTTAATAAAATCGTCACTAAAAAAATTTGTGATAATTTTTTACATATATTGCTAAAAATTAATAATTAATAACTTTTTTTATTATAATTTTTATAAATTATCGCTAAAACTTATACTTCGTGAAATTTTTCTATGACAAATTTTTGAAACTATCGTTAAAAGTTAAAAATTGATGACTTTTTGTGACAATTTTTTTAAACTGTCACTAAAATTTATAATTAGTTACATTTTTTGTGACAAAATTTACAAATTGTCTTTGAAAATTAACAATTAGTGACTTTTTTTTATATTGTTTGATGAAAAGTATTATTAATTATCATAAGACCTATTAGACAATAAGCCTACTTATTAAGATTTACCTGTAAGTCCCTCTATGCTTTATATCCATGTTGAGTTACAAATATATATTTTCTTATACTAATGACATCTGCGTCTAATTGTTAATCTAGATGGGGCAGACCCAAAAAGAAAAAAATATGTAGTAAGATTTTTGAAATTGTAGAGGTAGCGATCGAACCTGCTTGTCACCCTATATGTCAATCTTTGCTTCAGAGCAAAGTTGAGAAATGGACAGGACTGACAATTTCAAGGTTGATTGGAAAAGTTTGCTATTTAAGTATGAGAAGTTAGATAATACTAGCAGTTTCTCCTCTCCTCTCATGGGTTTCTTTAGATGTGCTATATCCTCACTGTTCATTTTCCTAGTGTGTGTAACTAGTGAATCCCAGCAAAATCATTCTATCAAGAAGGTAATTTTAGGCTCTTCACTTTCTCCCACAGGTACTCCTTCCACATCATGGTCCTCTCCCTCTGGCCTATTTGCATTTGGTTTCTACACACAAGATACGGGCTTTAAGGTCGGAATTTGGTTGGTCAACAACAATCACGCCAAAACAGTTGTATGGACCGCAAATCGAGATGATCCGCCAATCACCTCCAACTCGAAGATCAAGCTGACCACAAATGGACAACTTGTTCTAAGAACAGAACAGCACGGAGGAGAGAAGCTCCTAGCAAACACTACGGGCTCTGCTGCCTATGCCTCCATGCTCGATTCTGGAAATTTTGTTCTATACAACAACAACTCCAAAGGCATTTGGCAGACTTTCGATTCTCCCACCGACACCATTCTAGGAGGACAGAGCCTGTTAACTGAGGGTAAACTGGTCTCTAGTTTATCAGACACTGACCACTCAACCGGACGATATCAACTCTGGCTGCAGGGTGATGGGAACCTTGTTTTGTACCCACTGAACACTGAAGCAACCTCCATAGATGCTTATTGGGCATCGGGTACTTGGCATGAACTCCCCAATTCCCTTTACCTCAATCATTCTTCAGGCACTTTGGCTATCATAAACAGCATTAGTTTGGATACGATCAAAGACTTGGCTTATGAAGGTTACAATAACAACAACAACAACAGCAACAACAACAACAAAACAATCATTTATCGTGCAACACTTGATTTCGATGGAGTTTTCAGATTGTATTCTCATAAATTCGATCAGAGTGCTAATGAATCCCAGATTTCAGTTGAGTGGAAAGCACTGGAAAATCCATGTGAAGTGAGAGGTTTTTGTGGCTTAAACAGTTTCTGCACATTAGATGACTACCGACCATATTGCGTTTGTCTTTCCGGTACCAATTTCATTGATCCCAATAAGTGGTCTATGGGGTGCGGCAGAAACGTCTCGAAAGAAGGGTGTAGGGGTGGGATAGAAAACACAGCCTCATTTAACATTACTACCATGGAGCAAATGTCATGGGGAGAACTTCCGTATGCTGATGAAGCAATGTCAATAGAAGATTGCAAGAAATCTTGTTTGGAAGACTGCAATTGCGATGCAGCTATGTACGTGGGCGGATCTTGCAAGAAACAAGGTCTTCCCCTTGAATATATCAGAAGAGATATATCGGGATCCACAACCACGATTTTCTTAAAGGTGGCCATGACGAGAAACATCATCGAAAGCAAGAATGGGACAGCTCCTCCGTTCATGAAGCCAGTGACACCACCCCCAGGAGTTTTGGTCAAGAGCAAAGAAGCAGTAATGCTAATACTTCTTGTAACTATTGGTTTACTTACAAGTTCATGTGCTGCTCTTGCCATCTCTGGCATATATGTCTACAAATTTAGAGTTTTGAAGTACAAAAGGCTGCTACAATATGGAAACTCAGGCATTACTAAGGAGCTGACCTTGCAGTTTTCATACGGTGAGCTCAGAAGAGCAACCAACGGGTTCAAAGAAGAGTTGGGAAAGGGCTCCTTTGGAGCAGTTTACAAAGGTACTTTGTACAAAGAAAAGAAGTTGATTGCGGTGAAGAGACTTGAGAAGGTTGTGGAAGAAGGTGAAAGAGAATTTCAGGCAGAGATGCGAGCAATCGGTAAAAGGCACCACAGAAACTTAGTCCGGTTGCTTGGATACTGTATTGAGGGTTCTAAGAGGCTTTTGGTTTATGAATACATGAGAAATGGCTCCCTTGCAGATCTTCTTTTCAAATCTACTAGGCGCCCGGATTGGAATGAGAGAATTAAAATTGCCCTAAATGTCGCGAGAGGGATCCTCTATCTACATGAAGAGTGTGAGACTCCTATAATTCATTGTGATATAAAGCCTCAAAACATATTGATGGATGAGTTTTGGACTGCTAAAATCTCTGACTTCGGGTTGGCCAAGTTGTTGATGCCTGATCAAACAAGAACCTTTACAGGGGTTAGAGGGACTAGAGGATACGTGGCTCCAGAATGGCAGAGAAACAACCCCATATCCGTCAAGGTTGATGTTTACAGTTATGGGATAGTGCTGTTGGAAATTGTTTGTTGCAGAAAAAACTTGGAAGTTAATGTATCAACACCAGAAGAGGTGGTTCTCTCGGGTTGGGTCTATAGGTGCTTTGCTGGGAAGGAGTTGAACAAACTTCATGTTGTGGGTGATGAAGAAGTTGACTTGAAGACACTGGAGAACATGGTTAAAGTGGGACTTTGGTGCATTCAAGATGAACCAGCTCTTCGTCCTTCCATGAAAAGTGTCGTTTTGATGCTTGAAGGCATTACTGATATATCAATCCCTCCATGTCCAACTACGTATTAATGGATGCCATCTATAGAAGTTCATTATGTACCAGCATCATCCTCTGTTGGAGATCAGGGATTAGCAATTCTAATGAATAGACCATGTGACTGCAATAATATTTATTTGAAGGATATCTTAGTATATAATTGTTGCTTATACATGCATATATATATATAATCTATTAATGAAGTTGTGTAATTTTAATAATTTCCTCTTAATGCAAATGTGCAAATAGTTTGCCGTTGTATGAGTTTAAACATAATAATAATTTCAATGTTGTTGTAATCAATAAATAATAGTTTCTTGTTTGGCTGAATTTTCACCATTTTTCTTGATGAAATGGTTGCGCAGCTCTTGCTTCTTGCCTGCCTCATCTTTCTATAAATATTTTTTGTTTGTCAAGAATACCACTGCTGCTGCATATTCTTTTATTATACATCTTCCTTCACTACGTTTACGCAACACTATCTATTGAGTTAAACAAACAATTAATAATAATAATAAGATAGATAAAGAAATGTTTGAGTTGTGTAGATACTAACCAAGCTATTTATTAATGTACTTGCGTTCCTTTATTAAGTCAAAGTATTGTGCTTTAGTTTTCAATCCTGGCTAGATATATACAATTTTAACTAAATTAATTAAAACGCAAAATTTGTTATGTATCATGTTTTGGTATATACCCAGGTTGTGTTTGGTTAGAAGATTTGATAAGGGAAAAGAAAATAGAAAGAAATGGAGAAACAATGGATAAGATTTGAATTCCAAGTTATGTTTAGTTGAGTTGGAAAATGAAGAAACAAAAGAACATAAGTGAACCAAAAGACAACAAGTGGGATTACATTTCCCTCTCACTTTCTTTTTCCCTAGATTTTTCATTATAACCAAACAAAAAGTGGAATTGCATTTCCTTTTTCCTTTTCATTTCTCTCATCAAATCATCTAACCAAATACAACCTAAGGGTGCAAATTGAGAAGAACTTTATTTACACCCGGTTATATCTCTAGTGGCTGTTCATTAGGACTTTAGTGGTATTTTGTTATGCCACATCGTGATTTGAAATAGTTTTGACTTGTGAAGCCATTTATGTCAAATTAAAATAGGTTATAAATTTAGTGATATTTTATTATGACCCATAGTGGTCTTCTGTTATGATTCATAGTGGTGGTTCTTTGTTTTAAACTAAGTAGTGTTTGATTGCAACCCACAACGGCAACGGTTATGAATCAAATTAATGATTTAAATTCATTTTTTTAAACTCTAACAGCTAAAAGTGATGATCCATATAGTATGCCCCTTTTCAAGAGGTGTATAATAGTTCTCTCCCAACATTTAATCTTTACGGACAATTTATTTAATAGGTGAAAAATAGGTTTACATACTCAACTTCGTATTCCACCACCGCCCATAATTATAGAGTTAGGTGCATATGGTAGTGCACATCTTTTAAGATTTTTGCACGGCTCAACCAATTAACTTCTCACCCTTATGATTTTCACTCCTACAAGACCCAATACCTCTTTTCTCTCTTTCATTCTCATGGTTACTCCTTGGTGGGTTCTCTCTCATCTATCTCACCTTCGTACTCCGCCACCATCCTAAATTAGGTAACAGGTGCATATTGCACACACCTGTTTTGAGTGTAGAAAAAGTGTAAAAACCCCACAACTAGAGCTTTCTTAAAAGTTAATTTCTTGCCTACCCTAAAAATTTTTGGGAGAAATAAATACAAATCAGTGGAAGTAAGAAAAAAAATTACAACTATGTAAAGATGCAAGTAAAATTGTTCTCATGTTATGGACTCTTGGTTGGGTCTAGTAAAAACCGTCTCTAGTAATATCGTCAAACAATTTTCCCTAGCAAATGAATGGATTTCATTTCTCCATAAATACAACATTTCAATTAAACCTTGCCATCTCAATCTCATAATGATCCATAACATTTAACAATCAGGCTTCACTACTTCAGCAAAAGACAAGGATTTCATTACATTTTTTTACTATGTTTTAACAATCAATGTCAGCAAAAATGGTAATACTGCATATAATCCCACGTACGGACCTAAATAATGAGGCTCAGGAAGTTGCTACTGTGTCCCAGCGCCAGATCGTTCCATCCTCACAGCAGCTGAGAATGGTGCTGCAACATATAGATATGATGAGATTTGATCACAACCTTGTACGATATTCTAAATATACTAATACTCCCAGCCAGCAGATTTATTGAGAATTTACCTTCCATCAAAGGACATGGCAGTCTGTCTGATTGGAGATTTTGACTGAATATGAGACAACCTGAGAAGGGAAAAAATTCGAGCATGAAATTCTTAAGAGCCTCAACACCAATTGGGGTAAAGAAATGCTTGGTTTCTAGTAAAGAAATTTGATGAAGAAAAGCAAAGAAAACAAACCTAGCAATGAGAACAGGGGGACTTGATTGGAGTTCCCAAACAAAAATCTTCCCTTCCCTATTCCCTGGTAAAAAGAAGACCCAAAAAGCTATGATCCCCAGGAAAAGTTTTGCAGAATCTTATTAATGTTACACATGTAGTGCATGGATTGGTAACTATACTATGGTATATTAGCCATACAATGCTGAATAATAAACATAACTCAATATGGGTAAATTGAGAAATAAATAAATAAATAGAAGAGCCAGGAACATAACACTCCGTTACACAACACCTTCAATTACCTATAGCTGCTGCATTGTAATGAAAATCACATGAGAACTTGATGAACCAAATATCACACTCTGGAACTGGGTATTTTTGAAGGATGTCAACCGAACCCTACACAGATATCACAAGGAAGCCTTTTTTAAGGAGCATGACTGAACGTTTTTAAGTGCCAGACAAAATCAGCAATAGGAAACAGATATACAGAAGCTGAAGTTTCAATAGTACAGAGACATGAGAATATTCTAACCTCTCCGGGAGATTGTTCCTTCATTTTTGGCTCCCACAATACAATTTCATTGTCAACACTCTGCAAATGTGCGACACAATCTCAACTATATAAGCATATATGATGCCTTCAACTACTCTATACAAGTTAGCAATTGTCATTATGGATGTCTAAAGAGAATGACTCAGTTGAAATGATATGCCCAAAAGAAATAATTTTGCCTTAAATTCACATTCTCCAAACAAAAATTAGCTACGCCATGGTAAAATCATTCTAGAAGCCAAAAGAAGTTACTTTTTCCATGAAATATCCAAGCCCAACATTAGCCCAGCAGTTGAGTTCATCACAGACAAAACCTTTACAGCTTTTGTAAGTGAGATCCTCGAAGTGTTTGGATTTGGACTAGATTGTCACATACTGACTTCCTCAATAAAATAAAAAAGGAAAGAAAATAAACACAGTTGTCCATTATTAACAGATTCCTTAATGCTTTTTAACTAAGCATATAGCCTTTGACAGAGCAGAATGGCGAAAAAAGATCATGTAGCTGACCCCACTTGATTGGGACACAAGACCAAGTTTGGTTTGGTTGATTCCTCAATGCTTTCTCACATGTAACACATTATCTTCTGTAAGGCAACTAGCATTTAAATTCTAAGTAGGAAATACACGATAATAAACCCACTCACCTTAGACAAGATAAAATCACCAAGCCACCTATTACAGTCAACATAATTTGAATGAACTGAAGCTATAAATACCTGAAATGACAGAAAAATATTAGATACAACTTCAACAAATACTCATATGTAACATAAAAAAAAGAATGCTACTCACAGGGAATTGTACATATTTTGTGGGAAATTTTGAAGGAAGATCTGTCCATGTGAATGATTTCTCCACATATGTCCAGAACTCTGCAGCAAGTTCAAAAATTGGCAGAAGGATTAGAAAGTGCAGGGTGATGTTTACTTCTTGCTCTCCGTGGCAAGCCCCTACTAAAGTCTGGAAGTTGGGGACCCCTACTAAAGTCTCGTTTTTTATTTGATCGGGCAACCAGAGCTCTGTTATTAGAATCGTACGATTCGCAATTCGAATCGTACGATTCGATTCGATTCAGTAGGTAATCGATTCGAACAGGTTGTGGGAATCGCAAATAGCCATGAATCGTAGGTGAATCGGTGAATCGAATCGGTGAATCGTGAATCAATTCAATTCGCTAAAATCGATATTTGACTTTCTTTTTTGAGTTTTTATTGTTGGAAAAGGGTTCATACAACCTTTTTAAGATCTCTAAGATTACTATATGTCATCTTTTGACCTTCTCTTCCTCCCTATTTACTCTCAAATACACAAACTTTAGCGGGGGGAAAAAAAAAAGAACTCTCTCTCTACAATATTCTAGGCTTACATATTCAATTTTATCTAAATCCTTGCATTTACAAAATGAATTTTTTGAAGGCATCAAGTGAGATTTTTGAAAAAGTTTGAAGATTTTGATTTTTTAACCTTCTAAAAAGTAAAAAACATTGTTTTTGAGTTATTGTTACTTGGAAATTGAAAGTTTGTCTTCGTTTGCTTTCTTCATTAAGAATAGTTGATAATAAATAGTATCTAAAAGGGAAAAAGGTGAAGTGGTAAACATTGGAATCAATGTTAACTTCTTACTTAGACCACATGATCATCATTTAAAACAATATTTTTAGTGATTTATGTCTAAATATTTCATATTTATTAGATATATTCAGTGTTGTGAAAGGCGCGCCTAGGCGCAAGGCGCATCAAGTCTCAGCATGTGCGCCTGAGCTGGTACCAAGCGAGGCGCATTGAAGAAGTCGCGCGCCTTAGGTGCGACTGGAAGCAGGCGCGAGAAGCGCAAGGCTCGCGCCTAGGCGCGATTGATGATTTACCCCCTAATTTTGATCTAACGGCTGTAGTGGTGTGTGTTCGAATGGCTCTAACACAGAGGATTACAACTTACATACAATACGACTTCGACTGAAATGAAATAAGACTGAAACGAAATCCCTAACCTAATCTGTGTCGACTTCGATTCGACTTCCTCTCTCGACTTCGATTCGACTTCGACTTCCTCTCTCGACTTCGATTCGGACTGGCTAGGCTACGACTTCGACTTGGACTGGCTGGGCTTCGACTTCGTCTTCCTCTCTCGACTTCCAGGTGTGTGTCTGTCGTCTTCCTCTCTCGACTTCCAGGTCTGTGTCGTTTTTTTTTTTTTTTTTTTTTTTTTATTGACTCAGACCCATGTGCGCCGGATGGGTGATATGAAAAACATTTTGAGAGGTGGAATATAAAAAAAATAATAATAATAAGAAGAGAAGGAAGTGTTCGAATGGCTCTAACACAGAGGATTACAACTTATATACAATACGACTTCGACTGAAATGAAATAAGACTGAAACGAAATCCCTAACCTAATCTGTGTCGACTTCGATTCGACTTCCTCTCTCGACTTCAATTCGACTTCGACTTCCTCTCTCGACTTCGATTCGGACTGGCTGGGCTACGACTTCGACTTGGACTGGTTGGGCTTCGACTTCGTCTTCCTCTCTCGACCTCCAGGTGTGTGTCGTCTTCCTCTCTCGACTTCCAGGTCTGTGTCATTTTTTTTTTTTCTTCTCTCTTTCGGCTTCTTCGACTTCGGTCGTCTCTCTCTTTCGCTGATTCTGCTCTACTCTGTTGTGTTTTGTTTTGTTTTTTTTTATTTATTTATTATGCCTTTGAGTCTCTGTTAAAGAAAAAATAATAAATAAATAAATAGAATAATTTAAACAAAAATAAAAACAGATTACACTATTTTCTAAATTTAATAAACACATTACATTACATTAAAAAAATAATTTTCCATTAATTAAACACATTACATTCTAAAAAATAAATAAACACATTACACATTACATTATGCCTTTGGTCTCTGTTTACATTACATTATTTTCTAAATTTAATTGACACATTACGTTAATTATTTTTTAAATTCACACATTACATTACATTATTTTCCATTACATTACATTACACTCACTGAGTGTAATTTTCCATTACATTATTTTCCATTACATTTTATTAATTAATTTCCATTAATTAAAACATTGTCTGTGTGCTAATGTGTAATTTTCCATTACATTACACTGAAATTATTTTCCATTTATTAAATTTGTTGTGTAGAAAATGACATCATCGAAAAGTAATAGAAAAGATCCGGCATGGCAATATGCCCATTTGGTAGAGGAGAATAATTTAAACAAGTTCGAGTGTAATTTTTGTGGTAAAGTATCAAATGGAGGTATTTATCGGGTGAAACAACACCTTGCGGGAGGTTATAGGAATGTCACTGCTTACCCGAAGTGTCCTTCTCATGTAAGAGAAGAGATTAGAGAGTTCATGTCAAAAAAAAAGACACAAAAAGAAGAAATGAACATGTTGCCTGATTTTGATGACATGGACATGGAAGATGAAGATGAAGATGTCGTTGAGATCAATGTCAATCAACACCGCAAGTTGACAAATAGTAGCCAAGGTTCATCCAAATCCAAATCCAAATCAAAATCAAAAATGCCAAAGAGAAAAGGGCCTATAGATGTTTACTTCACACCCAATCTTGAATCAGTGGTGAAAAATCGAAGAGACCAAGCAAAAGGGAAACAAATCAAAATTGATGCAAATGACCATTACAAAAAAGAAATGAGAGCTCGGGCACTACAAAGATTTGCAAGGTGGATGTATGATGCTGGTATCCCTTTTAATGCAGTAAATTATGAGAGTTTTGGACCAATGATTGAAGCCATTGGCCAATATGGTCCTGGTATGAAGCCACCGACTTACCATGAAGTGCGGGTTACCCAACTCAAAAAAGAAGTGAAACATAATGAAGATTTGATAAAGTATCATAAGGAGGATTGTGCAAAACACGGGTGTTCCATAATGGCTGATGGTTGGACTGATAAGAGAAGAAGGACATCGATTAACTTTTTAGTTAATTGTCCAAGAGTAACCATGTTTGTTGAGTCGGTTGATGCTTCTAGCTATTCAAAGGATGGGCAAAAGCTATTTGAATTACTAGACAAGTTTGTGGAGAAAGTTAGAAAAGAAAATGTGGTGCAAGTTATCACTGATAGTGCTGCAGCTAATGTGTTGGCGGGTAAGAATATTTCTTCATTCCTTACATCAAAATTGTTTACTCATAGTTTGTTTTGTATTTAAAATTTAAAAACTTGAAAATAATAATTCTTTGTTATTGTTACATTATAGGGAGGTTTTTGGAAGCTAAGTATGAACACTTGTATTGGACACCATGTGCTGCTCATTGTTTGGACTTGATGTTAGAAGACATTTTCAAGATACCTAGACTGAAAAAGACATTTGAAAGGGGTATTGCAGTACATGGCTACATTTACAATCGGCCTACGTTGCTAAACATGATGAGGCGCTATACAAATTTGAAGAATTTGATCAAGCCTGCAAAAACTAGATTTGCAACCGCCTTTTTGACTTTGTCCAGAATGCATCAACAAAAAAACAATTTGAGAAAGATGGTGACCTCCGAAGACTGGACCTCAAGCAAATGGGCAAAGGAGTCACAAGGTAAAAGAATGGCACAAACTTTGTTGATGCCTTCATTTTGGAATACTGTTGTGTTTGCCCTTAAGGTCTCGGGTCCTCTTGTCAAAGTGCTTAGATTGGTTGATATCGAGAAGAAACCTCCCATGGGATACATTTACGAGGCAATGGATAGGGCAAAAGAATGCATTGCAAGTTCATTTGATCATAAAGAAGAGAAGTATAATGAAATCTTCGAAATCATCGATAAAAGATGGGATGTCCAATTGCATCGGCCTTTACATGCAGCTGCGCATTTTCTTAACCCAAAATTCTTTTACCCAAAAGCATTAGAGGTTCAAAGAGATCATGAAGTGATGAATGGGTTTTATGAATGCATGCAAAGGTTGGTCCCGAATGTCAATGTTCAAGATTTGATCACTAATGAGATGAGTATTTATATAAAGGCTGAGAGTCTTTTTGGCAAGTCTGTTGCGATTAGGCAAAGAAATACAAGAGCACCAGGTAATATATTATAGACTCATAGAGTTTATTTTTAATAATACTTTTAGTAAAACTCAATACTTGGTAACAGTTATTTCTAACTAGTGGATTATTGCAGCTGATTGGTGGGCATCATATGGTTCTTATACTCCAAACTTGCAAACTTTTGCCATAAAAGTCCTTAGCCTAACATGCAGTTTATCGGGTTGTGAACGAAATTGGAGTGTATTCGAACATGTAAGTATTTAACATTCTAACTAATTTTTTGTTCAATTCAAATAGTTTTTATTCTCATTATATGGAATTTAATATCTTTTTAATACTTGCAGCTTCATAGCAAGAAAAGAAATAGATTGGAACAACAACGTCTCAATGATTTAGTGTATGTCAAATACAATAGAACATTGAGCTTTAGGTATGACATGCGCAACACTCTTGATCCCATATCTTTGCAAAATATTGATGAAAGGAATGAGTGGTTGCTTAGGAGGATGGATGGAGAATTAGATAAAGATAATGAGCCTGTATTTGATGATGATGATGACTTGACGTGGGCCACTGTTGCTAGAGCTTCTGGAATAGAAGAAAGTAGCCATGCAAGTAGAGCAACAAGTTCACACTCAAAGGCACAACCGAGGATAGCTAAATCATCAACATTAACTCTACTTCAATTAATAGATGAAGAGGAAGCGGGCTCAGATGACACAGAGGAGGAAGATGTTGAGGGATATAAATCAACTGATGGAGAAGAAGATGATAGTTTGTTTGCCATTGATGTTGAGGATGATGATTGACTGACCGACCTAACCTACCCTTTCTTTTGATGTTGATATTTTTAAGTGTTAAGACATATATTAGTATTTGTTGGATATTAATGTTTCGGATGTTTAGTGTTTATGTTTATATTTTTGGATGTTTGAAATGTTATGTAATATGCACTTTCATGGCTTTGAGAATTATTCTATATTTTGTCTTGAATCTTGATTACTTTTTATTTTTTTAAAAATTGTCTTAGTACTATGAATGATTAGTCTATGTTAATTTTTCTATTTTTTACTAAGACTGTGCGCCTTACTTCAATAAAGCCCGCGCCTCGCCTTGCGCCTTGTGCCTAGGCCCCGAGAGACCTTCAGCGCCTTAGTGCACCTTGAGCCTTTAAAAACACTGGATATATTTAATATCTAAGTGTGTAGATATATTTTCTATATAATTAAAAAAAGGTGACCGAATCTTTACGATTCACGATTCGATTTGATTCGCGATTCGAATCCTGATTTGACAACTATGAACCAGAGTAACCCGTTTTCTACTAGTCAGATGATCAATTGTAAACGGGTGAGTAGGGATGGTGGATGGTCCCTTGCTGGTCAAAATGTTCTATTCATCATGCTCTCCAAGGAAGGCACCATCCATCAAACCTCTAAACAAGTTGTAATGGGGTTTAGCAAAACCATAACATTGGATTTCAATAAATCTTTGCAAATCCTCTTTCTCTAATAATGTGGCTGGTATACAACTTTTTGGACAAATTAGAAACTTCCTCTCTGGAAACTGTCTAAAAAGATGGTGCACAGCCCATCATCCAAGTATACCATGTAATGATGAATAAGGGAAATCCATCAATGTTACATTCCAAACCAAACATCCTTTCAAAATTTCATCCTTCTACCAGTTCCCACTTCGAAACCCATTTTTTCGGAGCTACCAATAACTCATTTCACAATAGCACCTAGAGTACAACCCCTGACTACCTTACTTTCTTACGATAAACAAACCTTTTAAGCCACGTTGTTCAAATGGTCAGGAAGAATAAAAGCCCAATGCCAAGTCACACAATCTGTTCATGCACACAAAGCCCACAGCACCCAGTCCCATCTCTAATCCTTATCCATAAGAAGAAGCTCTAAAATTTCTACAATCTTTTAAAACTGGATATACAGAATAAATCACCTGCTAGCTTTCCACGTTTTTCTTTTTTCTTTGATTGGCTTATATATTATTTTTCTTGAAGTCTTATAATTTTTTGTTGCAGGTTTATATCATTTTTTTACGTCATCTGATCATTCAAAAGAAAACATCAAATAAAGTAGCTATTGGACTCTACATTATCTTGGACAGAGCAATGCTCCAATCCCATCAAATAATTCCATTTTGTAATAGTAAAAGCAAATTTTACCTTTCATTGACCAGATCTTGACAGTGTTATCCATTCCACAACTTGCAATGCGATATATATCTGAAGGATGGAAGTCCTAAAACAGCCACAAGAGACCCCAAATTAATTAAGCTTAAGATCCTTGTTTCAAATCTGAACTCATACAAAAAACACTAGAAGTTAATATAATAAAAATAAAAACTAAAAACTTTCCCTCCTTTCTTTTGAAAGAGGAAGAAAAGCAGAAGGGGAGGGCACATTAATCTTCATAATCTACACTTACCACACTCAAGACTTCATTGCGATGACCCCCAGCACCAGCAAATATCAAAATGCATATTCCAGTTTGTACATTCCACAGCCGAACTGATTCATCCTGGTCCAATCTTGACCAATAATTATGAATTATAAAGCACAAAAACATTAAATTAACATTAAAATTTCCTTAAGACTTACTGTTAGAATTTCCCATCTTTACCTTCACCTACTCCACTACACACTCCACTTCACCTACCTCCACTTCACCACACACTCCACTTCACCTAACCCACTATCACCTCCACTACACCTACTACCACATTTTCTTCTATATATAGATTGTATAGGAATTGTAATTAAACAACCTTGTAATCAGATATCAATCAATAATAAGATCTGTATTTTTCTCTTTATACATTGATTTTTAACACTTACTTTGCTTGCAGACACCACAAGTGATGATTTCAGTGCCTGTGTCCTAATTTCATTTATCGAGTCCCCATGACCAACAAAACTCTGCAGATACATACACAAGCATTTCAAAGCAAAAATAGTGAAGGGACACAACAAGAAAAAAAAAAAAGAAAAAGGAACCATATTTTCATGATTATACCATGCAGTGGCGGAGCCACAACAGGTCCAAGGGGCACGTGCCCCCTCAACATCTCAAGAATTACATTTTAGCTTAAGCTTTTTAAAAGTCTTTTAATTTTCCCCCTATACATATAATAGTTGTTTTTTTTGTTTTTTATTTCTTGTCTAATGTCTACTCAAATAAAATAAGACTTCTTTGTTGCCAGTTGACTCAGGGTTGTTAAAATTATTGAGATTTTGATTTCGTTAAACAATGGTAGTGATTTGAATATTAGGTAATTTTTTCCCATTCTTCTTTCAACAAACTCGACACACCATTGATTAGAACATGAGCATAGATTGACTCCTTATTTGCTTCACAAATTAAATCTAAGAAAACATTTCATTTAATTACGTCTATTTTCTTGACATTTTTTTCATTTTTATTTTTATTTTCATATTATTATTTCTTGAGAGTTTTGTTGATCTACTTCAATGTTACAATGGTTTTGGTAGTGATATGTATGATATTGGAATAATTTTCAAATATTTATAGTTGATTTTTTTATCAAACTAAAACAAACTAAGCCTTTTGTCCCAAACAGAACCAACCCAATAATTTGTCTAATACCTCCAAATAGGCAAAATTGTGGCTCTGCCACCAATACCATGTATGATTTCAAATGGGTGCACAGCTAAGCAGTAAAGTTCACATTCTAGATAAACATGTAAAATCTTTTACAGAAAAATAGAAACCAAATAAAGCAATAAGTTTATCTGTGAGTACAGCAAAATTCTGTGCACACTAATTAATATAAAGATGGAAGGGGGTGAATCTCAAATGGAAAATGATAATTAATGCAACAATAGTTTCATTTGGATGTATACAACGAATGGATAAGTGGTCTTTCGTTTGTTCCTTCCTTTTGCCTAATCATTTTCTTTTACAAACGAATTATTCTCTTCAGCACACTGAAGCAAACTAATAAAACTAAAAAGAAAAGTAATACCACAAACTTTGGGTATTTGATACCTTGTGCATCTTCTCATTACCAGCATCAATGACACGGATAATACCATTGATTCCTCCAGCAACTAATAATGGAGTTCCATCAGTATTGCACGCCCAGCTCACAGTGTAAAAGGACTCATCCTTCTGATTTAGAAAAAAACATGGAAACCCTGAATGCTCTTTAAGAAGACACAGTTTTACAAATAAAAAGCTCCACATGCATCAAACAAGAAGTCTTGGTCCTTACATCTTCGTCAATGTAAGACTGCAACACAGCAATAACACCACCTTCAAGGCATTGGTATACTGTCACCTGAAAAAAAACTCACCAAATAAAAGACAACAAGGAAACAACTTAGCATTGTGCCCTCATTTGTTTCAAAATAGAACAACTTCTAAAGCAACAAATTGGTGGAGTTGCCAAACATAGTGCATAAAAAAAAGTAGTTTAAAAAGTTGTCAGCTTGTGTTATATATATATATATATGAGGTGATGAATCCATTGCAAGGACACTTTCTAGAGAGGGGCATCTTAAGACAACACCACAACAAAAATAAAAAGAACATAAACCCTAACCCTAAAGCCTAAACAACCCAATAATAATAATCAAATTAAAAGATAAAAAATCGAAAGGAAAGGAGGTAGTAGTAAGCTAATTCTAATTTCTACCATCTTGAAATCATTGTCATTATGGCAATATCTTCAAGTGCAGCAGAGAGTAAACCTGTAACCCTTTATTGACCTATACTTTTCCAAATCACATCCTCTAAGAATAAGCAATACAAAGGTGGTTCCTCAACATTTGACAACCTCTAGCAATAAGCAATAATATAAAGTTGGAAGAGGGATACTTTTAACATGTAGTTTCTTTCTAATAATTACAAGCATCGAAAGCTTAAGGGAGTGTTTGGCTCACCTTCAGCTTATTATTAGGCAGAAATAGCTCAAATAAACTGAAAAAACCTAATTATTAGTAGAACTTGAAGAGGGGGTGCTTTTAGCTTTTGCCTTTTAATTATTCACTTTTAACTTACAATAAACTGCACGAAACAGGAGACAAGTTCAACAAACACAAGCAAAAACAAGCAAAACCCAAGTCTTGTGTCGCAATCAATTAGAGTGGGCTACATGAATCTGGGCTATATGATCAAATTAAATAAATTCAACCCAAAAAATAAAATCACTTCAACAAGCCTGATCAAAAGTTCCAACCCAGAAAGAATATATAAAATTTCCTCTCTAATTACAACAGTTTAGTCCCTAAACCTAAACACACAATAGTGGGAGGAAAAACAATTTTAAAAAATCAAAATAAACAAACTCACCCATCAAAAAGAAAGGGAATTAAAATGCATTTTGAAATTGGAAAAGGGCAATTACATGGAAAAACAAAATTCTCTTTCTTTTTTTCCCGAGAAAACTAAACTGAGAGCGAAGAGAAAGAGAAGTACCCGATTGCCGCCGACGGTGGCGAAGACGTTGAAGTAGCGAGAGTCGATGAAGTTGAAAACGACGGCATAGAGGGGGCGCTTGCCCTCTTGGAGCCTGTTGGTGACCCTGTACTCCCTCTTCTTCGACGGCGCTAGCGACCCCACCACCGGCTCGCAACCTAATGCGATCTTCGCCATTCCCACCCCCACCTTACCTTATGCGCAGGTTAGCAGCGACTCCTCACTTCGCACACAGAAAAACGAGAGGGGAGCCCTTGCTAAAAGTACAAAAACACAAGTATTGATCGTTTTAAGTACAAAATTTGTATGGATAATTAATAGGAAAAATCACTATTCATACTAATAATAACTTCTTCTTTTTCATCAAAATTTAAGTAAAAAATTTATTTGATGTCACATGTTTCGATAGAGGATTTTGAGTTTTATCAAAATATTGGTTGATGAGATGACGACCGGACAAATGTCCGGCCGGTCAACCAGTTAGCGTATTTTTTTTATAATTTTTTGCTTAGATATGATCATTTGGGAGACATGCGATGTTAAAAATTCAACAGTTATAAACAGTAATTTGATAAACACTCCTAGCGTCTTCAATTTAATGAAAGATTTTTGAAATTCTTAATTTTATACTTATTTGATGAAATTATTGAAGTTCGAAAAAATATGTTTTTCCATCAAATTTAAATTTGACGACGGGATTGATAAACTATTGAAGATGGCTAATAGGGTATTCGAGTCAAGCTTAGCGAAGTGGACTCCAATTTGGTTCCTTAAATTTTTATTAAATTTGAATTCAAACTCGTTAAAATCTTTAATAAACAAATCCAAACGTATTAAAATTCGGTTCAATTTGACTCGTTTACAGTCCTAATGGTCCCAGAATACGGTTACATGATACTCTATAATAATATAATTAGTGTATGGAGTGATTGAAGAACATAAAGAGGCAAAATGAATAGTGATTGATGAGAGAGTATAACACATGGTATTCTAAAGCTATTGTGTTATTTTTCATAATAATAATAATAATAGTAAATTTATTTTTATTCAAATTTAACTTTTAATTTCTTAAATTCTAATTATAACAATTGAGCTTTTCAATTTTAAATTGTTATTTTAATGTCATTTTCTCATCACACTCAAAATTTAAATTAAAAAAAATGTTCATAAATCACATTTTAATAATTCAGTTCTTCAATTTTAAATCATTATTTATGTGTTCATTATTGATTGTTTGAATTGAGCTAGAAAAGCGAATTTATTATTGATTGTTTTAATTGAGCTAGAAAATACTTGAACGAAAATTAGACTCATGGTGCTTTTCATTCGATTCACAAGTAACATTAATCAATCACCCTTAACAGCAAAAAAAATAAATTATTGAACAAATACTTAAGAAGTCCTCAAACATCCTAAAAAAATTACTCTATATATATAGATGAATCTATTCTCATACAAGGCTTTAGCAACACCACAACGCCAATTACACTTCCATCTCATCTCCATTTTATCTTTTCTTTTCCTTTTTCTCATTTTTTATTCGCACTCATTCCATTTCTTCACTGTTTTCCTTTTTCTTCTTCTTCCTCTTCCCCTTAGAAGAGGCCGGCTTTCTGTAAGTTTCTTGACATGCTTTGATGACAATGCGAATATGTGGATCGTCTTTTGGTATGTTGTTTAGCATTTTTCTTGCAGATTGACGATTCCCTGAAGCCAAGAGGGCTTGATACATCCTGCACAAGCATTCAAAAAGTTAAAAAAAATTACAAGAAATCAAAAATTAGAATTCATGACTCTTTCAGTTTATTCCAATTATGTGAAAATGTAAAATTATTATAGTACAAGAACCAAACATGCTTTCTGAGATGATTTCATGAGTATCTGATCATCAACACAAGCCAATTACCATAGAATAGTTTGATTCCAACTTAATCATATAGCCGAAGTAACCAAACAACAATATATCACACAGTAGAAATCAGAGTTACAGTCAGAATGCTTTCATGTAAATAATCATTATATGCATGTTAGTCGTGTTTTAGTCCAAGCAAGCTGATAAATTTTGATGTGGGTAAGAAGCCTGCACAATGAGGATGGTTGGTGGAAGTTTCTACAAGGAAATGGATTCTTTCAAATTGGGCATCCAACTGGAGAGGTGATGTTGTTCTCTCAATGGGCCCACCCCAATGATCGGAATTGTTCATCTTTGTAGGGTCTACTGAGCAGAGCAACAATGCAAAAAATCAAAATGGTCAAATATCGGTAAACATATGATCAAATCACATGTTTTAAAAAAATCTGACAATGTAGCTCCCAATGTCCGATCAACCCGATTTTTAGGCGTTACAAGATGAACGGTTTAAGTCACCAGGTAAGCACACCAAGCCCAACAGCACCTCTCTAGTTGAATGCCCAACTGAAGAGCATCCATTTCCATTTAGAATTCCCATTTGTCATACATACTCTAATGAAGGAATTCTACCCTGTACAGAAAGCTTGAGTACTGAATGATCAATAATAAGAAATTAAGGACAAGGGGTACGGTGTGCCGTGCATGCAAAAACGACGCAGTTTTTTTTTTTTTTTTTTTTTTTTGGAAACAAAACAAAATAAAACCATACAAATCTTCATAGGCATTTATTGTAATAAGGAGAAATATCTACTAGCATATTTTTTATTTTATTTTTGAAAATTCACACCCTTTCCCAGGTCGAGAAATTAATGTATTACTTGCCTTAAGAAAGTTAAACTGTTGTAAGGAAGGCCAGCTGTCTGATATTCTTTATAAATTAAAAGAGAACTCGCCGCATCTTTTGCACTAACACAAGCACTGAGGAGAAAATCAAGACTTTTTCGTGAAGGGCGAACATCAATCTCTTCCTTGATGGCTTGAAGCATATCCAAGCCAAATTGCAAATCTGCAGGCTCCATCTCAGCAATTTTTGAAAATACCTGATCAACGATTTCCGTGATGAAACTAAAGAATTATTTGGATCTCACGTGCTATTATTACAGAAAAATATAGCGCAGTATAATTATTAAGATTAGAATTCTACATATCAAAGTGAAATATTTCATGTTCATACAGATTCCCAATATAGCAAACTTATTCTACATTGTTGGATAAATTAAGAGAGCAAGACTGATACCTCGTCAAAAAGACCTTCTACGGCGACTTCATCATCATAAAACTTATCCCTGAGTTGCTTCAGCAAATCAACAGCAGAACTAAACCACAGAAAACAAGAAATTAAATAAACTGGATACATGCAGGGAAAAAATCTAAGAAAGGAAAATGGGTAAATTACACCAATGGTCCCTTTAGTTTGAGCAAAGTTTCACTTTGGTCCCCGTAATTTAAATTTCATCAATTTAAATCCTACACTTTCAATTCTGTTTCAATGTGGTCCTTCAATCAATTACAACTAGAATTTTGGACCAAAAGGGCCCATGTGCAACTTTTAGCAATTCCCAGAACAAAAAAATGAACAAATTACACTGGTAGCACACCACCGAGGAGAGGAGGTTACTTGACGAAGGGCTGAAACTCTTCCCGTCATTTTTCAAATTATGGTTGATGCTTGGGCAGCTGGAGGAACGGCTTGGTAACTTGGAACAGGCTAAGGAAGCCTATGAGTCAGGTTTGAAGCACTGCTCCAGTTGTATTCCCCTTTGGCTTTCGCTTGCTAACCTTGAGGAGAAGATGAATGGATTGAGTAAAGCTCGAGCAGTTCTCACCATGGCCAGGAAGAAGAATGCTCAGAACCCTGAACTCTGGCTTGCTGCAGTCAAACTTGAATTTGAGAACCATGAACCTGAGAGGGCAAGAATGCTTCTTGCTAAAGCTCGAGAAAGAGGAGGTACAGAAAGGGTATGGATGAAATCTGCCATTGTTGAGAGAGAAGAAAATTCCAGCGGGCAGCAGAGGCAAAGTTGCCGGCCGGCTGCCCGCCGGTGAGAAAAAAATACAGGTTTAAATCTTATAGCTCTGATACCATGTAAAAAATAAATTGATGTATATTATTGATTGATTTAAATTTGTATACAATGACTCTCCTATATATAGAAGAGAAAAAACATATTCACCTACCACACTCAACTCTCACCTAACACACTTACATCTACCTACCATACTCAACTCTCACCTAACACACTCAACTCTACCAACCACACTTACACAAAACAAAAAAATGAACAAATTACACTGGTAGTCACTAGTTTCTTCCAAATTCCACTTTGGTCCCTCTAATTTCACACGTGTTGTTTTTCCATCCAAAATGTTAACAGCAACTGAAGGAGGAACCACATTGAAACAAAATTGGAAGTGGGGGTTTTAAATTGATGAAATTGAAATTGCAGAAACCAAAGTAAAATTTCGCTCAAACTAAAAGGACCAACCATATAATTTACTGAAGAAAAAATTTATTGTAGGGTCACAGGGTCACTGAACCTTAAATACTTGTGTTTAACACAATATGAAATGACCCTGCAGCATCCATCAACCCAATAATTTTGATCATTTAATTCCTCAAGTAGCTGAAGCAATCTACTCAACTCTCCTTCAGATTGAAGGTACTCCTGATCAAAAGGTGAGGAATTGTTAGTCTTCAGAAGGTAAAACATACAAGCAATAATACATTAAGAAACTTACAATAAGAGATATAATGGCTTTGGGCTCCACGTTGCATTCAGCATATTTGATTTCTTCATATATGTTAAGCGCATCAGAGACTTGCCCATGTGATGCAAGAGCTGAGACGAGCACACTTCTAATTTCATTTAAGCTCTTGATGGGTACTCCTTTGTCCAAGACTATCTGCAACCACAAATTAGGACCACCTATGAGACCTTCATAGACAACCTCTATTTTTAACGTTCCTATGGCCTAACTTCCTCAAAACAGTAAAAGGTTTCAAGAATAAAATAATGAGGAAAACTGCCCAGTTAACCCAAAATTGAGAAAAAAACAAAAACCTAATTCAATGCATACTATAAAAGCCAGCAACAATTAATGAAGGGTGGAGAATCTTAGTACAACAAAGAAGAGACTTAGATAGGAGAACAGAAAATAGATAATTAAAAAGTAAAGAGGCACAGATAAAGAATCCATGAGGACAGTTGCACCATATTCATGTAAACTATGCAGAAAAGCAGAATTTAGGGCTGAAAGGTCCGTGCCCTTCTAATATTTACTTTGAGGACAGTTGCACCATATTCATGTAAACTATGCAGAAAAGCAGAATTTAGGGCTGAAAGGTCCGTGCCCTTCTAATATTTACTTCTTAGGTAGTTATTAATTGAATAATTATTGGACTCACACGGGAAAGAAAATTGTATATTATCAGAAAAATTATATTTATTTCATGAGAGAGAGAGGAGGAGAGAGGGGGAGGTGACGGACTACATGTCTTTCCAGTTTGAACAGATAGGAATGAATATGAACCAGAAGCTACATGAAAGATGTAAATATACCTGTTTTGCCTTCTCAAACTGTCCACAAGCAGCATATGCATTTATAAGTGCCATGAAAATATGTTTCGTAATTTGAACTCCAGAATGCTTCAGTTCTTCATAATACTACAACCAGAACACCAAATTAGCCTCTTACAATGGCATGGGAAACTGTCATGCTTTTGAAAGTCATAACAAAATCAGAAGCATACACATGCAAAGAAAACACTATACGACCACCTAATACCATCATAAACATGCCCACTAGTTCAATAATACTATACTTGAGTGTACCCATCACCTCCACCCATGGGAACAGAACAGTTCAGAGACAAAATTGAAAAGCATTAGTAAAGTACCTGTTTTGTTTAGATTAACAAAAATTGTTTACATCTGGCAAATACATGAGATTGCCTATTCCTCGTACAAAATAAAAAGTTACACAGACACTGCCACAGACTTTATAGGGGTTATTAAAAACCAAAACCTCTATGGAGCCTAAGTAATAGCTTGGGACAGGCAGTTCTGCTGCCACCTGCCATGTTAACTCCAGCCCAGTTTCATGTGCAATGAACTACCAAAGAAGAATTATTGGCCAGTTCAGGGTAAATTCTATCAGTAGCAATCACAAGTAGTTAAAAATGGAACCAAAAGAGAAGAAAAAAAATGATTCCCAGAAAACAGATGGCCAGTAGCATATGCTAACAAATGAAGCGAACAAAACATGAATTCCATTTCATTAATATTACCAAATCGAAATCCATATTTTCATTAAGAAAAAGTAGAAGGTTACAATTGGCTTTTAGACAAGAAGATTGGGTCATGAACTCAAATGAAGCTTTCATCAAATTGTAACTTTTGAATTACCTTAAAAATCAAAAAAATTAATTAATTAATTAATTAATTAATTTAAAAAAATAAAAATAAAATAAAATAACTTTTGAATTACCTTACCTTAACAATATCCTCTTCACAATCAGAGTTCCCTATAAGATAGCTGAAAGTCTGAGTATCAGGTTTGACATCTGCATGTTCCATGTGTTTGAGAACCATCAAACCACCACGAATGTTTTTCTGCCGAGAATTGGGAAATAAAATAGCTCAAGCATAAAACCCATGAAAAATTATAAGCATAAATCATCCTTTAAGTGGTGTAGCTTAAACAAATTTTGATGATAGCTCTGCAATATAGTGCATAAAACAGAAAACATGTAATTGAATCTTGACAGTTACAAGTAGCCATGATCACAAGGCCTCTAAAACTGTTAAAATATTAATCAAGATTGACATCTTAACCATAACTAACATAAAAATTAGTAAGTACAGCAGTAGTAAAATATGAGCAAGAGCAACTTTATGATACTGAAACGTTACTAATTATCTATCTTTTCTTCAAGATATTACTTTTGAGATCAGTACAAGTGCATCACAAGGAACAGCTTCCCACCAAAAAATATATTTAAACCAACAATATTGACTCCTAGCATGCAGCACAAAACCAACTTTGGAGAAAACCGCTTGCCAAAAAATAATGATTAAAAACTCATCAAAAAGCTAATGATATGTGTAGGTATATGGGCCCACACCTGACACATGGCACCCTCCGGTTGTGCCACGTCAATCGTGGCTTCCCCAACAAGCCTTATGCTTCACATGTCAACTCTTGCCAATGGACATGTAGACCAATCACCAAGTTGGCACTTCAAAACATATTTGGAATTGCCTTGCCTAGCCTACCCGAGCTCAGGTCTAGCTAGCTTGGTTGCTTGGTTGGCTAGCAATCCCACCAAGAGAGTCAGACCACCTCGTGCTAGCACACACCATTGACCTGCTTGGTTGTTTGGCTCACCAACAGCCCCACCGAGCTAGATCTCCATCTTGAAGTTGGGACAATTCCATAATTACCTGGACAGGGAGCAGTGCCCAGATACCACACTTGGGACCATATAGGACTGGTGGATTGGAGTCTACAACTCAAGGTCTGCCCAACCACTGGTCAAGCTTGCCCCTTGGGATGAGGCGTGCTCGGCGGACCAGTCTTAGATAGAGAGGTGCTTGACCAAGACTAGACACATCAAAGATTGATCATACCTAACCTACCCGACATGCCCAGAAAGAGATGTATACCTACCCTCTGACCACATATGATACATCCATCAAGGCCACCATTAGAGGTTGCAGAATTGACTTTGTTTGTCTCTATTTTGCCTAGCCAAGGGGGTGGTCATGCCGTGTGTGCTTGGTTGAGTTGGCTCCCCTTGGCATGCCACCCTATATAAAGAAGGCCTTCATGCAGGATATGCATCATCACTATTGTCATCTACCCTGCTCTCCAGTGCTCCACTGCCACCCTCTCTCTATGCTAAGGTTGTCGTTGGTTCTCTCGTCTCTCACATTCGGTGGTCTTTGGCCACACCAGTGCTTGCCATCTTCCCAGAAGACACTCCTCAGCCAACGCACCCCTCATCATTCACATTATATTTACTAACTGTTGAGAAAAATAAAGAGATTCAAACAGAATCAAACCAGAAAATATCAAAGCAATTAAGAAAGTCACCTCCCGAAAATATCCTGCCATTAAGGCATTGTACATGCTAGCTGTAGGCATCAAATTCATTTTCTCCAGATCTTTGATCATGCTATATGCACCCTCAAACTGCAATGAAGGGAAGAAGAAAAAACATATGAAGGTTACTTGCTTCAAACAATTCATCAAAATGAGGATTAGACCAAATGCAACAGAAGAAAACTTACATCTTTCATTTTTACGCTCAAATTTATCATACTCCTGAATGTCTCATTATTCGCCTTCAAGTTATTATGACGAATCACTGAATAGATTCGATGAACCTTAGAATCATGCGACAGAACATAAAAATATTGTCAACTGCAACATAAACAGCCTCAAACAACACTCACACTTAATAAATAATAAGTCATAACTGGAATCCCCAGATAACTAGTACCATAAACTTATCTCCTCACATTTTAATTAAGAAATCTTTTGTGCATGGACAAGAAGTCGAGGACAACATATATCCACAAGCTGGACAGCTGGTCAATAATTTCACAAGTAAATCCTAGTTCAAAAATTAAAACCCACAAGCAAACTAACAGCAACAGAAACTGGAGTGAAACACGGCAACAACTAGAAAAATAGAAAATTTAAAGTGAACACGTAGCAGAAAAGTTCAAGCAAGGAATAAAACATAAAAAGGATATATTTCGATGAATATATCGCAACCATAAATCTATATTGCAAATTTTGGGGGGGAAATACAAATCCTAAAAGTTTTTATTTTGTGAAGTTTTAGCAAAGATAGTAATGTAAAAATAAGACACCAATAGTTGTAAATAAAAAGTAAATTCGGAATACATAACTGTACGCATAGTGTGACAATTGTGCATTGCAAAATAAATAAATAACACCAATGATTGAAATATTAACTTACTACAATATTTGATGATATTAACACTAACCAAGGTACAACTATAAATATACATACAAAGAAAGTTCAAATACACAAATTGGAATCCATTTAAATGTACATACACTTACAAATAAAGTTCGAATACATATATAACAATCCATGAATGCACCAGCATTCAGTGCCACATGAAGTTTAAGTTTCTACGTGGCTCAAACCCAGAGGTACCACTTGTACTTCCATATGAAAGAGTTCACATTTGTGAGTAATTACAATACCCAACCCATGTCATATGAATGAAGATATTTCTTGACCAATTATATGTATGGCCTTCAAGCTCCTCCATTGTAGCGTTCTCCAAAACCAAGTGGTGGATAATGATGGTAACCACCTCTACATCATTGCTTATAGGATAACTTCCTGGGCCAACATAATATGGATAGTTGGATGCAGATACTCTACTTGTCCATATAGGCCATATCCATAGCCATAATATGAAAAATGTACTACTTGCGTGTGTTGGTACTATATAACTATTAAGTGCTACGAACAGTTAACAATTAAGTATTAAGAGATGGAACATTTTGTAATAAGTAAAAAAGGGCAATGCATTGTGTATAAGTGACACTGATACATTCAAGGATGTTGACACCCTAATGAGTTCTGACCTTTTATCTACTGTTCTTTATTTTATTTGCTAATTTTATATTTTCGAATGCCCACTTGACAGTCATTTTTTTTCTTCTTCAAATTAAACCTTCTTTTCTCTCATTAAAAAACTTACAACTGACTTAACATTAATATAAAATTGAAATAGCTATTTTAAACATTTCAAATGCAATAAATTGGGATATTACAAAAAAGGTGTGATATTTTGTGATTTTCTAGCAGACTTAAACCAATATTTAGTCAATGTCATATTTCGCGGGGTATGTTGCGATATTTTGCGACATCGCTACCCTATTGAAACATTGTATCACAACTTTTCAAAGTTCATTATATCATGATATTTTGCACTTTTAAATTCCACCTCAAGTTCAAGGCATCTGTATTTATCACTTCATACATACAGTTTGGGTTTCGGACGTTATGTTGCATCAGATCAAATATACTCAGCCTTATATCATCTATAGGTCCTACGAACAAAATGAACACAAATCTCCAAGATCTGTAAATGTCCGCCCCCTAACTATTACATCCTTGATTTGCTTGAAGAAGCATGACCACTTCTAAAAAGGTGGTGTGTTCGTGTTGGACACCGACACTCATTGGACACTTTCCCAACGCGTGTCTGACACTTATCCAAACGTGTCCTTTTTTTAAAAAAGAATTTAGACTCAAACACTCTTCGGACACTCTTTGAACACTTGGAAGGCATATGTGTCTATTGATTAGAAACACACGAAACTAATTATATGTTTGAACAAAATAACTTAGAATATGATGATAAAAGAAAATTAATGTTAATTTATAGAAATTAGTGTTATATTGCATTTATTTTTTGTCTTAGAATGATATATTCATATATATGACATATAATAAAGGGAGCCGCTATTTCTACTCCACTTTGCTCCAAATACACTCCCTTCTTTGTCTTTATTATACATAGTTACTATTCTCACTCCACTTTGCTCCAAATACACTCCCTTCTATGTATGATAATAAGGACAAAAAATAGAGTGTATTTGGAGCAAAGTAGCGTGGGAATAGCGGCTCTGATAATAAATATATAAAATTATATATCCTGTGTATGTCCCATGCTTGTCGTGTCCTGCTTTTTTTAAAAATTGACGTGTCAATGTGTCCATGCTATATTCGTGTCGTATCACGTGTCTGTATCCATGCTTCTCATCACCCAATGGCAGTTCCATTAGTTCACAGTGCCAGGGGCAGATTGGGTACAGAACTTACACTGGCTTTTATTTGCATTGTGCCACCCATCAGACTGGATCCTGCATTTTATGCTATCATCTCACTTTCAACACTCCATCACACATGCTTGCTTATCCTTGATTTGCTTCAATAATACAATATCAAATGAAGAAAATCTAGAGAAGTCCAAAAAAACTAGGCAATGATTCACTATTACTTCCTATTGATGATAAGTTCAAATTTTCTACACAATTCAGGCAGTTAATAGTGATACTAACATGATTCTCATACAGTATCTGCGTATGCATGGATTCCAATATGCTTTACGAGAATAAAATAACCAAAGACAGCATACATCATCCAATAAATGTGGGGAAAAGAAGGAACAAGTCAACATACCAAGTTGTAGTCACAACTCTCCTCGCATGCATGTAATATGGAATGAAATGTTTCTATTGATAAGGTTAAACCTGCTTCAAACATCTGATCAACTATATCAAGAGCCATGTGAACCTACATTAAAATGATTACATGTGTAAGTTATCTGAAAGCAATCTGTAGAATGACAACAGCAAAATGAACCACTTCCAACACCTTGAAAACATGAGGTAAAAAATACGTAGATGACCAATGTCAAGTATATCAATTTATACCTTCAGTGAATCACAACAATGTCTAATGAGCTTCTCATATGATGCGGAAGAAGGTGTCACCTCCAATTCCCGATGCAAGTTTTTGAAATTTAAAAAAACATCTTCAACCTTCAAGTTACAAAATAGTTTAGTGTAAGGAGAAGCAAGCCTTCAAACAAAAGCAAAGATTGAATGATTGAAGATAATATTAGTAATCAATATTGATCATAAATGAAACAATTTTAGAACCTATAGAAATGTTCAAAGACTAACCCAAAATGCCCAAGTCACAATAGTGCAACCATACCAATGTGCCAAGTCCTGTCCTACTCTTAAATACGTTCAGAACAACCCAATTTTAATTCTTTGGTTGAGAAAGTTGTCTAAATTTTTTTCCTCTTACACTACAGGAAACACAGGTGACTTGTATACTTAAAAATGGAAGGAGCAAGCTGCTTCTAGAGCAGAAGTGCCTCATAAAATTGAGGCCTCAAGAACATTACCAGCAGCATTCATGAGAGGTTCCTCACCGCTAAATTTGGCATGCTAATTGCATAATTATAGATGAAGTTTGAGGTATTTTCTGCCCCAATATCTGCACCTGACAAGATAACCACATTGCAATAAGCATAAAATATGAAGCTCAAGAGAAAATGTGCACTCGATCTTTGCATTCTAAATTACCATAATCTATAGTGGAAATAAAAAAGGCTGGACTTAAAATGATTGCAGAAAATCTGCATGCAGTATATGGAAGTGATTTATAATGTCGATCTAACTTAAGACAGGACATTGATCAGATTTATCAAAAAAAATAGGACATTGATCAGGGTTAAGAGGGCATTGAACATTTCAAATTAAGATAGTTTTTTAGTTACTTGAGCATAAATATTTAAGTTATAAATTACTGACAACATTTTTAATATTTTGTAAAGATAGAATGTCCAGAAAAACTTGTTCTGTTTATTCTAAAGTTACATCAACTAATGCCAAGTTCCACCAGCACTTCATTCAAACAACACCAGTACGCTTTACTACATTTATAAATCATAAAAATGAAAGAATCATGGACATACCACAGCTTTTTAATTCCAAAATAAATTTCTTCACAAAAGACTCCAATAAAAGCCTCCCCAAGGATCTGAAAATATTTGGTAGATGACCCAGAGAAATTTCGGTTATGTCAATGATCTGTAGTAGTAGCAAAAGCTCCTTCTTCCGGTCACTTTCACACAGGGCCAGCAAATAACTTTCTGCAACATCAGTCAAATCAATAAGTTTCCCACGTACACCAAATAGGAAAAAATAAATAATAAGTAAGAAAAAACAAACAAATAGATTTAAGACCTTAAGATGCACAGAAATATAGCTCAAACTTCGATTAATTTACCAATTTGAAATTACTTCTGAGCAATACTTGCAGATGCAATAGCATATATTTGTGTTCCAACCGCGTGCAGATGTAAATGTTCAAGAGTAAAACTAAAAACATATTGACCAGAAACAAATAATGGTAAAAACACATAATTCCTTGATTCCATAAACTGATTTAAGTTATGTGCACCACATAATGGTTTCAACTTTCCACTTTTCCCCTGCAAATCCATTACAGTTACTTTCAAGAATTTACGAAATTAAGAAGGGCAACATTAGTAGTTAAACAAAACTGACGATGTAAGACCATATCCAGAAAAATATGCCTTAATTCTTTTCAATACGAGTTTTAAAAAAAAAAAACGTTGGATTAACCATTGGTAAACGAGAGAGAGAGAGAGAGAGAGAGAGAGAGAACCTAAACGAGGTGTACAAGAATGAATTTCTAGTTTCAGTTACATACATCTATATATATATGGTCCTATTGATCTCCATGACAGTGTCATGATTTTATTTTATTTTTTTTTAAATCATCTTGATGGTGTTGTATTTGCGCTCTATATTTGTATTCTTGCATAATCTATTTTCCAAACCAAATAAAAACAAAGAAACAATACAAACACAAGCAAGCAAGATAAATAATAGCACTATTATGATGCTACTAAGAGACAACAGGAAGGAGGAACCTGGTTCTAGATTAACTATTTTATTCTGTAATTCCTTTTCAATCAATAAATCAATGACAAACCCGTTCCAGCCAAACCCAGCTTTGGCTGGTGATCTTCAATACAATATTGTGAAAAAATATAACAAAAGATCTCATTAAACAAGCTAAACAACAACAAAACAGATCTGCTAAATTACAGACCTTTAAAGTTGGGTTTGTCACCATCATCGTTAGTTAAAATATAATCACAGAGCTCTGTTATTTTATCTTCATTATTAACTCTAATCCAAAGCATCATCTCATAGTAAGCTAATCTTGATAGTGAATTTGGATTCTCCTGATAGATAGCTTCACAGAAATATACAAATTCTTGTACCATCTCCATGTCAATTAGAAACATCAGAAATGGACCATAAGTTTCATCCTCTAGCTGAAAACCAAGTTGCTTCATTGACTTGAAAAGTTTATATGCCTTGGAAATCTGTTGTAACGAAACTTCTTCATCTTCAGTTTTTCTGGCCTCCTCTATGCAAAGTCCTATTAACGCATTATATTCTTTCACACCAGTCTCTCGTCCCAATCTACCAAATACCTTAATAGTTGCATCTGCCCCCAGCTTTTGTGCACACATTCTAACTAGCCGGTCAAAACGATGAGTTTGGCCACTCTTAAAAATCCACTTTTGCTTCCTATCACGTGATACTTCTTTCCGACGAAGTGAGATGTTATTGTGTGACATGCTTGAGAACCATGGTATTTCTAAAAGACTTTTTTCAGGTTTATCATCATTGCCGTCTCGGGAATCAAGGGAAATAGCCGTATCCAATGATGAACCATCTACAAATGAAATAAATACACATAGATAATGTTAGAGAAAAATACAAGACAAGGACTCTAGAATCTAGACCCCGAACCCGGGGGGCAACAGGGTGGAACAAACGCATACTAGCCATGATGTCTTATCAGCATGTATTATAGCAACAGAGGTCCACACTAGACAATGAATTTTGAAATATTGTTTGGTTGTCCGCTTTTAATGGAAAGCGGAATATGTACAATCCTATTGAAGTACAAATTTCTGGAAAATTTTATAGGAAAGCATTAAAATAAGAAATAATACACCCGCACTCTTGCCGTAAATTAAAATCATAGATACTCAAATGCAGATTGAAACTTTACATCATATCTAAGTTTTAACTTCGTCCACTCTCTCAGATATCCTATGCTAAGTAAGGAATCCAAGTCCACTTTTTGGAAGTAATAATCAAGTAGAAAATGAAATGGCCATGAGTACAGAAAATTTGATTCTTTTTTAATCCACATGGACCATAAAGTTGTGTCCTTTTCTCTACCACAGCAGCCAAACTGAGCCTAAACTTTTACCATTTTGTTTTTCTCAGAAACAATAAATAATGGAACACATACCAAGCAATATGGAAGATATCTCCTTTGACAGTTCCTGAGTTGATTCATCTGCAAAAAATAGTGAAATTATAAGAGTTACTAAAAAAATTAAAAAATTTATTCGAAAATATATTGATAATGCTCTGTTTGGTCAGTAAGAAAAATGTAGCTAACAGAAAGAACAACATCCAACAGTGAAAATTTCCTCCAAGTTGAGCCAATTGTGACCATTCAGCTTAGGGCATCTCCAACTCTTACTCAAATGTATACTCAAACTTAAATTTGAGTAAAATGTCATTAAAATCACTCCACTCCTTTACTCAAACCTATACCAAATTGAGTTTTACTCAAACGAAGAGAGCCATTTCCTTTACTTAAATTTCTATCCAGTCCAAAACTTGACACTTACACCCTTCTATCCAAACTTTCCACTAATCTCCATTACTCTAACCCATACCTTCCACCCAAACTTGAAGCTTGCAATTTTACTTGACTTTTAAATTTGTGCTTATTCATTGGCCCCGTTTGGTAGATCTGTGGGAAAATGATTATAGATTATGATTTAACAGATTATAGATTATAACTTTAAACATAAGCTGTTAACTTGTTTGGTACAGCTGTGAGATTATAAATTTAATCAGCAGAGTAATGTTTGGTAGAATAAGTTGTAAAATAGCTTTTTGCTGCGTAATGTCCTTTTTGCCTTTTTTTCTTTTTCTTCATTTCATTTTATTTTCTTTTTTGTTCTTCTCTTCTTACATATTAATTATATTCATTTATATTAATGTTCTGATTTCATTACATATTATTTTTTTATATTTATTTTAGTTTATAAATATATGAATATTAATTGATATTTTTTTAATTTATTAAAAATAGTTACAAAATATACCAATTCATTATTTCATTTTTTTATTTATTTTCATTAGTACTAAATTGATAAATTTTTTTATTAAAAAAATAGTTAAATGGAGAGGAGAGACAGAGAGCCATTGAGAGAGCAACGCTGGATCATCACCGAAGGTTGCCTCTTTCTTCTCCACCGGCGAAGAGATCGCGAAGAAGGCGATCGTAGAAGAGAAAGAAGAGATCGATCGCGCTAGGGTTTGATATCATCACCGGTGGCGCTAGGGTTTCAGATCGTCACCAACAGCTCTAGGGTTTGAGATTGATCGCGCTAGGGTTTCATATCGTCACCGGCGGCACTAGGGTTTCAGATCGTCACCGGCGGCTCTAGGGTTTCAGATTGATCGCAACAGTTAGGGTTTTGCCCCTCAATTGTGATCGCGACAGCGAAAGGTCAAGAGAGAGAGAGACGTTGCCAGAAACCGCAACCCTTGCCGAAAATCGCCACTCTCTCTCTCTCTCTCCCTCTCTCTCTCAGAGTGAACAGTGTGATAGTGTGGTTTATATACGGGGTATTTGATAATATCAGAATTTGATGAGGGGCATTTAAGTAATTTTGCCCCTCCAAACCAACATTCCGCTTAATCTATAATCTCCAAAACACCCCGTCAGCCACTTCAAGAAAAAGCTATTTTTTCACTTAATTTAAGTTATAATCTAATGAGTTAAGTTGCACCAAACACAATGTTTTAGCTTAAATTAAGCTAAAAGCTTAAATAAGCAGCTTTTAACCTGTGCCAAACACCCACATTGGATTGCTAAATATCAAATGAAGCTATTTACTCAAACTTCTACTCAATCTGAGTAAAAGTACAAGTAAGGATTGGAGATGGTGGGCATCTCCAACCCTTACCCAAATCTTGCTCGTTTGGGAATTAGCTATTTTAGTTGGCTTTTCTACTTTTTACGAAAAAGACGTGCAGAAAAGTAAAGAGAATGATATAACAACTTGTAGTGGCTTTTTCGTTTTTTTGACTATTTTAACCTATTGACAAATTAGGAGTAAAAAGCTACTAAAATCCCTTCCACTCCTTTAATACCAAATTGTTTTACTGAAAAATTCAGTCAAATCAAGCAAGACCCATTTCATTTACTCAAATTTCTATCCAATCAAAACTTGACACATAGGTACGTTTATCCAAAATTTTCAAATTCTCTTTTACTCCAACTCCTAGCATCCCCTCAAAACTAGACCCTTGGCAATTTTTATCAAATTTCAGTTTATCCATTGGAGCGTTGAAGATTTTTACTCAAAACTTCTACTCAACTCAAGTAAAAGTATAAGCAATTGGAGACGGGTCGTGTTGTAACATAACTAAATCCTTTCTAGACAAAACTTTTTAAAAAAATAATAATAATAATTTAATGAGTCATAACCAAACAATATATAAGGTATAACCAAAGACCTTTTCAGCCATAAACAAAACAATAATCACAATAGGTCATAATCAACATTACACAATGAACCATAACTAAGTCATAACTACCAACATGTCATGACCAAAGAACACAAACATCTTAACTAGAGCATATGGAATAGAATTTTCCAGCCTTAGACCGTGTTTGGTTGGAGAATTTGATGAGACAAATGAAAAAGGAAAAGTAATGCAATCTCACCTTTTGTTTGGTTATAGTGAAAGTGAGAGAAAAATACAATCCTACACCTACTTTTCGTCTTTTGTTTCACGTAGGCTATTTTGTTTCTCTATTTCCGAATTCAACCAAAAAAATAGATTAGAATTCGAATCTCATCAATTTTTTATCATTTTCTTTCCATTTTCATTTTGATCATCAACTCCTCCAACTAAACACAGTTTGGTTCGTGGATTTTGGGGAGTCATTTGGAAAGTGAAAGGAAAAAGTTGTGTGAAATGTACATGAAATATTTTCCTTCTCCTTTCCAAACCCCAAACACAGCCTTAGTTAATACAAGTTTTTCACACGAAACGAACCCGAAAATGAAATTTCCCGGGTTTTTTTTTTTTTTCTTTCGCTTTCTCGTTTTGTCAAATTTTCAGCAACCAAACAGTAAGTAAGCTCATCAGCAAAAGAGTAATAAACAAAAAAATACATACCAAGATGAGGCGCTGAGTCGAACTTCAAGCTCTCGACAGCCAAAAGAGTGGCTGATTTAGAAGGAGGAGAGTTCTTGGAACGAGAAGGCGATTTGGGAAATTTGATAGAGCGTTTGAGATTGGAAGTGGTGGAAGAAGAAGAAGAAGAAGAAGAAGAAGAGGAGGAGGTGTCGAGTGAGGAGACGAAGTGTTTGAGAGGTGCGTCGAGGGAGGGAAAGATCTTGGAGGCGGTTTTAATGGCGGAACGGAACAGTGAGCTGAGGTTCTTGGCTTTGGAGGCGGGCATTTCATTCTCTTCTCTCTCTCTCTCTCTCTCTCTCTGTGTGCAACAAGAGATAGGTGATGATGGGTTGTTGGATTTGGGTTGCAGGTGTGGGTTAACGGGCATATAATTGGACTAGGGTTTAGGAACTTTCAAAGGCAGTTGTTTGGTGTAATTTTCTTAGGAGTGTTTAGGGTTTAGTGTTTGGTGTAATTTTTTTTTTAGGTCTTTCTAGGTTTTTTTTTTTGGTGTAATTAACTTTTGAATTGAAGAATTAAAAAATATGTTTAGTTTATCATTTCTTTAAAAGAAAAATTAGCTTAAGATTACGGGCATTTCCCTAAATAAGCCAAAATAGTAAATCAATTCTCAAACTAAGCCTAGTTTTGAAAGAATTTTCAAAATAGGCTAAATCGCGATTGTGAACCACGATTTCAACACATATACGCCTCTCTCGCGTGGAAGACGGGAAATCTTAAAATCATGGTTACGAAACACGCTTTTGATTAAGAAATCGCGATTGCAAAACGCGCTTTTAATTAATTTTTTTTTCTTCTGAACTCACTGTTCCAAACCACGATTTTAACCAAATTTTTTTTTTTCTAAACTCGCTATTTCTAACCACGATTTTATCAAAAAATATTTTTCTTCTGAACTTGTTTTTCCTAACCACGATTTTATCAAAAAACATTTTTCTTCTGAACTCGCTCTTTCGAACCATGCTTTTTTTGCCAAAACTTTTTTCTTCTGAAATCGTGATTATGAACCACGCTTTTTGCGTAAATTTTTTTTTTTGGTTTTTTTTTTTTGTTTCTGTTGTCATTGTTTTGGTGATAATGTATTTCAGAATAATTTTTGGGGTTACAATTGTTTTACTAAAACTGTTCTCATGTTTTTTTTTTTTCCTTTTCTTTTGTCTTTATTTTGGGTTAGAATGTGTAATTCAGCATTTTTTTTTTTTGCTTGACTAAAGTAAATTTATTTTGTTTTTTCTTGTGTTTGTTTGGGTTAGAAGGTAATAATGTAATTCATAAATTTTTTGGGCTTTAGTAAAGTCGTTTTGATGTAAATTTTTTATTTTATTTTATTTTTTCTTTGTTTTGGGTTAGAAGGTGTTATTCAGTAATTTGTTTAGGCTTTAATAAAGCCGTTTTCATTTAAATATATATATTTTTTCTTTTGTCTTTGTTTTGGGTTAGAAGGTGATAAGGTAATTCATAAATTTTTTTCGCTTTACTAAAGCCATTTTCATGTGAAGTTTTTTATTTTTTATTTTTTATTTTTTCCTCTTGTCTTTGTTTTGGGTTAGAATGTGTTATTCAGAAATTTATTTTGGCTTTACTAAAGCCATTTTCATGTAAATAAATTTTTTTTTCCCTGTTGTCTTTGTTTTGGGTTAGAAGGTGATAATGTAATTCATAAATTTCTTTTTGCTTTACTAAAGCCGTTTTCATGTAAAGTTTTTATTTTTTATTTTTTTCTCTTGTCTTTGTTTTGGGTTAGAATGTGTTATTCAGAAATTTGTTTTGGCTTTACTAAAGCCGTTTTCATTTAAATAATTTTTTTTTTCTGTTGTCTTTGTTTTGGGTTAGAAGGTGATAATGTAATTCATAAAACCTTGAAGAAAAAACACATAAGTCTCCCACAAAAATATATAGGTAGTACAGACATAAGTCTCGGACAACAATACATTGTGGACACCATGAACTGAACACACAATACATAGATAAACATAACAGTTAGACAGACAAATATTAGCCAGACAATCTGACAAACTCATTACGGAAACACTTACTCTAACACAGACATTACATATTAATGCATGACCTAATATTGCCGAAGTGTAGACATTAACACCTAATTCGCGCTTAAATCGGCAGGTGGCTCAGAGTCTGAATAATCCGAAAGCTCAGCGTCAGAGACAAGTTCAGGATCCTCTATGATACCCTTGATAGCCGCAACATTTGGTTCAGTTCTGTTCTTCTGGGCATCCTTCCTAACTATGTGTAGCTATATATCGCGGGCTAACCTACGGCCCATTTGAGAAATCTCACTTTGTAGTCTTTCACATAGTCGATCAACATTATCAGGATCTTCCTTTTGGATCTCAACAGAACGTGCTTTTGGCACCTTCAGTCGATTTTCCCGACATAATCTTTCCATTTGCACTCGCTCTATAAATAGTGCGGGCCACTTCAGAAGTCTAGCGTTTGCTAAACCATATCCTGTTTGATTATCTGATGGATCCTCCACCAAACCACATGGATCTCGATAGTACTTGGGCATGACAAAATGTCGCTTCCCAAACCTATCATGATAAGCACAAGAGGCATCTAACAAAGGAAATGGTGTTTTATCTTCAGCATCGCCACTTCGTATTCCCCCTCCTCGTCGTGAACTGTCATCCCTTTGCAAGTTCCTACCACCTCTGCGATTCCCACTCCCTCCCATGAACCATATAGCCATGCTGATTTTTTAAAACAAATGAATGATAATTTCGTAGGGTGAAATGAGTTGTAAGGTTGTGTCTTCACCTTTAGTTGTTTATATAGTTGGTTATGAACGGCTTTAGAAAGATGCCTCTGCATGACAATCCCACATATACGAACAAGGTATGAGTTGTCACTAGAATAAAAAAACAGAGTAAAGCAAATACTGTGTACCAAGTCACGTGACTTGACAATCCATTTGCATATACCAACAAAGTAAGGGCATGCTCACTGTAAGGTAAATCAGTAAATTCACTGTTGCCATGTGACTTTCTGAATTGAGAATCCCACATATATCAATAAGAGATGAGTTGGCACTGTAATAAAAAAATTGGGCAAAAAATTGAGAAAATCAAAGCCTATGCACCAAGTCACATGACTTGACAATCCATCTGCATATACCGACAAAATAAGGGTATGCTCACTGTAAGGTAAATCTATGAATTCAGTGTTGGCATGTGACTTTCTGAATTGAGAATCCCACATATATCAATAAGAGATGAGTTGTCACTATAATAAAAAAATGGAGCAAAAAATTGAGAAAACCAAAGCCTGTGCACCAAGTCACATGACTTGACAATCCATCTGCATATACCGACAAAATAAGGGCATGCTCACTGTAAGGTAAATTAGTGAATTCAGTGTTGGCATGTGACTTTCTGAATTGAGAATCCCACATATATCAATAAGAGATGGGTTGTCACTGTAATAAAAAAATCGAGCAAAAAATTAAGAAAACCAAAGCATGTGCACCAAGTCACATGACTTGACAATCCATCTGCATATACGGACAAAATAAGGGCATGCTCACTGTAAGGTAAATCAGTGAATTCACTGTTGCCATGTGACTTTCTGCTTTGAGAATCCCACATATATTAATTACAAATGAGTTGTCACTGTAATAAAAAAATCGAGCAAAAAATCGAGAAAACCAAAGCCTATACACCAAGTCACATGACTTGACAATCCATCTGCATATACCGACAAAATAACGGCATGCTCACTGTAAGGTAAATCAGTGAATTCACTGTTGCCATGTGACTTTCTGAATTGAGAATCCCACATATATCAAATTGGTGTTGAGGTAAATCTGTTTGTGTATAATTAATTGTAAATAGTGATTTTGACAAGCAAATCAAGTAAAACCAATTGGGTTTTAAATTTAGTTTCCCAACTGGACCAACCACTTGGCTTTGAGCTTGTTTGTCCAGCCCCCCAAGTTTAGTTATATGTCAACCCCCCATTCCTTACCACAGTCATCATTTTGACTGGACTTCCAGGAATTAGAAGGCGACTCTTTCTTCTTTCCCAATGGAGATTGAAATTCTTTACGTACAGGATCCCTATTTCACGAGCTCCAGTTAAGGGAAGCTTTTCACTGAGCTACCTGTTCTGTTTTATGTGTTGTTCAAGGCGGTAGTTCGTTTGTATGAACTTTATTTAGTTTCCCAACTGGACCAACCACTTGGCTTTGAGCTTGTTTGTCCAGCCCCCAAGTTTAATTATCTGTCAACCCCCCATTCCTTACCACAGTCATCATTTTGACTGGACTTCCAGGAATTGGAAAGCGACTCTTTCTTCTTTCCCGATGGAGATTGAAATTCTTTACGTACAGGATCCCTATTTCACAAGCCCCAGTTAAGGGAAGCTTTTCACCGAGCTAACTGTTATGTTTTATGTGTTGTTCAAGGCGGTAGTTCGTTTGTATGAACTTTATTTAGTTCCCCAACTGGACCAACCACTTGGCTTTGAGCTTGTTTGTCCAGCCCCCCAAGTATAGTTATCTGTCAACCCCCCATTCCTTACCACAGTCATCATTTTGACTGGACTTCCAGGAATTGGAAGGCGACTCTTTCTTCTTTCCCGATGGAGATTGAAATTCTTTACGTACAGGATCCCTATTTCACGAGCCCCAGTTAAGGGAAGCTTTTCACCGAGCTACCTGTTATGTTTTATGTGTTTTAAGTATTTACATCATTCAACATACATTAATCCATTCATTAATCCAGAATATTCATTAACTCATTGCAATTCAATAAAGAAATTCATGAACTAATAAATGTGCAGTTATAAATGTAGTTATTTCATAAACTTCAAGTTCATAAAACAAATACTTGAAATACATCCGTACATTAGATGAACAACAACATTGTCTTGCACTCCAGTAACGAAGATATGAGACAACATACAAACATATATGACAGATAAAGGTGTTTGATTTCTCATTCCTCATCTGACATGTAGTAGTCAGAGAGATATTTTTCATTGTTTAAGACATTATTTCGCTCAATCACTATCAAATCTCTGTTGCTTGCTTCTGCCATTTTGGTGGCTAGCTGAAGCATGAAATGTCGACATCTCCGCATCAACATTCTATTGTTCTCCTTCTTAATTCTGTTAACTGCTTTTTCATAGTCACTCACATTTCGTCTAGCCATGGTCAATGAACGACGATGAGGTACCGATGCCCCAAAGTTACATAAATCATTAAACAATCCTTCTTGCTCCGTTACCCTGAACGCCCATTCTGCTTGGATACCAGCATAATAATCCTTCGGACTCGAATACTTTTCGCTCTTGTAGTCATAAGTAAATGGAGGTAGCAACCACACTTTCGGATTTCTTTGCTGGCGTGAACTTCCTGCACCTCTTGAAGACATTGTTCATAAAATAAACAAACAAATAATAATAGTAATTGTAGATATATTACTATTATTATGACTTGAACAAACATCATACTGTGGGTGTCGCTATTTATAGACATCATACTGAGGGTTAACTAGAGATGATCTAGTGACGATAATGCATGCTGGGGGCACTATGGAATAAGTGATACTCGTGATATTATTTTTTAGCTTTTCATTTCATGCAATCCTGAGTACCCGTGACTTTGTGTACCTGTGATGTAGTCACGGACGTGGTTGCCAGATAAAATCATAATTGTAGGCCAGAGGATGACAATGCAATCCCTTTATATTGGAGCAGTGAGTTGTCAAATAAAACAAAGCAGTGAGTTGTCAAATAAAAAAACATGCAGTGAGTTCTCACATCGCCACATGAAACTATTTTTTCATGCTTACTTTTTTAATACATAAGTAGTCACTTGGAATTGACGATTTCAGTACAAATTGGTGTTTTCAACAAATTATAAATGAAATTAAATGCTTAAATTTTCTTTGTTTTAAAGTAATATTATTCGTAAAAAGCCTATATTTTATCTTATTTTCACTTAGTGAACTTCACAGTCATCCCATTTTCTCATCTTTGCATTTTTTGCTTCTTTTTATATTCGGTAAATTACATTTTACTCCTTCAGTCCATCACATAATTGTTTATCAACACTATTGCCATGTGGTCGTATTGATGTGCCATGTGGTCGCAAAGTCAGAAAGTCACATGCATTACTGCATCACTGCACAAAGTGACATGCATCACTGCATTACTGCACAAAGTCACATGCATCACTGCATCGCTGCACAAAGTCAGATGCAACACTGCATCGCTGCACAAAGTCACGTAGCATTTGAGGAAAAAACAAAGCATCCAAATTATTACATATGTTCAAGTCATTGGCGAGCATCACTGACAAATGTTGGACGTATCACTGCGCCGAGCTACAATTTATTATCGCACCATACCTACTGTGCCCTTGTGAATTATGCAATCCATTACAATTTTGAGGGGGTGTCATAACAAAATAACAATAAATTAATAAATATGTCAATACACCTAAAAAGTAAAACAAATTTGTGAATAAATATTTCCAAAAATTTAAAAATATTTTAAAGATTTTTAAATTGTGAGTTCACATTTATTTTTTAAAAAAAAATTTCAGGCAAAGAAATTTGACTAATTCAGACGTTTAGTCGGTTGATCAGCTTGGTTTTTATTTTATTATTATTTTTTTATGTTTTTACTTTTTGTTTTGGAATAACAGTAAATTATGCAATTCATAAAAGTCGAAGTGACAACTCCTATCAAGTTGATGCATTGTTGTTCAGGTCATAAAAGTTGACGTGACAACTCTGATGCATAGTTGTTTACAATAATTTCATACATACAGCTACCATGTGTATATATGGTATAAATATTGCATCATACCACAACAAAAGTTTTACAGCTATTTCGAGCGATATCATCATGAGATATACGGTGGTTGATCTGTATTCAGCAATGGGTCGGTATTGGGTTGCAGATGGATATGAATTTGAATACCCAATAAATCCAAATTTGCGTTACTCACGTGCCACCGTCAATACCATGAGAGCTGAATGGGAATTTTGCAAAACTCGAGCAAATGTTCTCGTTGAGCTATGTCGTGAAGTTAATCTTAAATTTCCTCGCCGGTTAGCCATGCGTATGCCAACTGACACTCCACAGTTGTTGCAAAGGGCATTGCATCGTATCCGCGACGAGGTTAATCGCATGACCCAACGTTTGCAAAGGTCCGGACTAATGAAGACCGCAAATGAGCGTGCCGAAGATGGGTTAATGGATGATGCACACCAGTACTACGCCTGGAGCATGGATGTTATGTATGAATCTGATATTGAGGTGTCAGATGATGATGATAATGAATGAAATTGTTTAGATGAACGCCGAAGCCATTTCTGTAATGCATGCAATTTTTAATGCTTATCCACGACTTATCAATGAAGGGAGATATTTCAATTGCTTTCGAATAGTTCTTGTAACTCTACCTTTACTTTCTCTCCGTTATTGTTATTTTGAAGAACGCTACTTCAACTAAACTTTCATGATTTCATGCATTATTGATGTGAAATATAATAATGATACTTAATGAAGTAAATGTTCATAAAACAAATAGTTGAAATACACGTTTAAGCTATATGAACAACAAATATATATGTCTACATTTTGTTTGGTTATCATTGGTTTGTACATGAAAAGAAGATAGTGAATGCAATCATTCAGAAAAGTGAAAGAAAAGGGAAAACAAAATTATGTGTTTGTTTAGATATTTGTTTTGTTTCCTATTTACTCATATTTTTCCCCACAACTATCCATTATGCAATGTTTACATTTTTTTCCCAGATTTTTTTTGTATAAAATTTTTAGTAACCTGTAGCAACACAAGTGGTCCTCTAATCTCGCTCAATAATAAAATCCTATCAATTCTTATCCTTTTTTTCCTGTTTTCCTTTTCATTTTTATGGAAATCATCAAAACAAGTAAGAATAAAAAATTGTAAAATTATATTTTTCGAATAAATAAGTATAACACATTTACATCATCTGTACAAGTTTGATTTACAAAAACTATAACAAAAACTATAAATAAAATAAACTATACACTCCACATCACACTCGCTAATGCCCTAACCTGCCCCCAGTCCCACAATCCCAACCGTGGATCTCCCTCCTCGGTCTCCTGCGGTAGACTTTCTGAATATCTGACTCCCTAAATCGTAAATGCGTATCCTGTGGAGCCTGTGAGTGTGACCCCCCCTCTACTGCATGTGCTGCCCTGATCTTGTCTGTGGCGGAAGATCGGATACTGCTGTGAGCTGTGAAACTCCATCATCTGGTGCAACTGTATCACGATCTGCAGTTGGAGCTCGATCTCTGCCTCTGTCCGCACCCCGACCTCGGCCGCGACGTCCGCCACGACCAAAACCTCGGCCTTTCCCGCGCGCTTTGGGTGGGGGCTCAATATGGGCCTCAGCGTCAACGTGGGAGATGTCAGTGAGAACTGCATCATGTGTACTCATGGTCGCGGTCGAACTGTCTGGTGGTGGTAACTGGGTGGGTGGGGTAACAACGTCATGCATGTATCGGGGCGGTGTCCAATCAGGGTCAGGCACATAAGGTATGCCAGTATGCTACGTAGGAAGTACATTGAGGGAATCTGCAGATATGTATGGGGTAGTATGTGGTGGGGTGACTGATGTCAAAGGAGCTGATGTGGCAGGCGCTGAAGTGGAAGGCACTGACGTGGACGACGCTGATGTGTCTGGAGCAGCTGCTGAAGTGTGTACACCGTAGTGGCCATAATGCAAACGATCTCCCCGATGGGCAAACTGGAATGCCTGGTACAATAACTCTCGAATCTCTACAACGGCCTGCAAGGCATGCTGTCCATCACGTCTCAAATGGGCGTCCTCAGCCAAGTGAAACGACCTCCCAGCTCCAGCCACCTAAACAAACATTCAGACGTATTATTAGGCTACAGTTGACTGAAAGTAAATCAAGTATGATTTTAATAATTATCTAACACGTAATATGATACTCACCAATGCCTCAAGATAAGGCCCAACTCCTTGATATCCAGACTCAGACACGTGGCTCGGATTCCCGACAAGTAGGTGTGTATGTCGCCGATACCACAACATGTAAGGGTCAGAAGAGGGGATCACCTCATCGCTGTAGTCAGCCTGTACAATACTGTCCCGGCGGGCATCCCACAACTGTATATAGGGTATATAAAACAGATGCCAGTCAGTGCCAACTCGGCCACGCCTATCAGTGACGTGCAACTGCCACTCAGTGTCGAACCGATCTGGCACGGACTGCACCCGACCAAACTGTCGGAGGACACGATGGGGGAGATGCCACTCAACCACGTCAAAACAAATAAGTGGCACTCTCGCCATCCATATCTCCTGACCCAGTCGGCAGTAGTCGGGGAGCGTACCGAGGACCCCAGCGTAAGGCTGCCAGATAAACTACAATGACGACAAATAAATTAAATTTTGCTCGTGAACTCAAAACATATGCAATTAAGAAGACAACTAAAACGCAATCAAAAAATTTTATACCTCGCCCTCGATCATCCGGTCCAGCTGGTCTCTATAAACAACCACTACGTGGGTCGAGACGACCTTGTGGCCCATGTCAACTCTCCACCGGCTACCTCGCGGTCCGATGGGCAACTGCATGTCCCCCTCACCCATAGGAAGCTCACCAAGACCAACCGGTTGCCGCCCAGACGGGGCAATGCAAGTCAATCTCTCCCATGCCCAAATCTGCAATAGTTTGAACACAATTACAATACTGATATATGGCATACAATATGAATTGACATGTAATAAAATTCTTACTGACCTGTAGCAACACAAGTGGTCCTCCAATCTCCCTCGTACCCACCTGAGCTGGTCGACATAGCATCTTATACAACCATGCTAGAGCCGCGCTACCCTAGCTGTACTGCCCAATGGCAAGTACATCAGCTTGAGCAGGTTCTGTGACTTATCAGGGAGAAGCACCCCCCCAATAAGCCATAGAATATATGCTCGGGTATGCTGCTGTACCAACTCATCTGGAGCATGATCTGGGAAATGAGCAAAGTGCTCGGCCAGCCACCTCACCCTCAGTCTACCTGCTTGTAAATCTGCTGGTGTAGGTGCTACTCCCAATAGCTCAGCACATAGGGCTATCCACTGCTCCGTCGCGAAAGATGGATCAACTCTAGTAACTGCTTGGCCATCAATCCGAAGACCATATAGGACGGATACGTCCTGCAACGTAACGGTGGCCTCCCCGATCGGGAAATAGAATGTACGAGTCTCTGTGCGCTACCTCTCGACGAGAGCAGTGATGAGTGCGTGGTCCAGTCGAATGTGCCCGATACGATACACACCATAGAATCCTGCGCGTAATAGATACTGCAAGACTCTATGGTCCAATGGATGCTCCCACAATCCAGAATATGCCCGACGACATGTCAACATGGTGCGTGCTTCATCCTGCACAACAGAATGACCAGTTTAAATAATAGCATTATCACGAAATATACAACAAAATGCAATGTATTTTAATTGTAAGCGTAAAGTCCAACAAACGTTATTGCATACCGGACGGTCCCAAATACTGTCAGCCCAATGTGCCTGTCTGAACAGTGGAACCTCCTCAGGTACATGTGCCATGAAGCCTGTACAACTGAAATATTAGATCACCATATCAAAATCTCATTTAATCATAACATAATAACAGATAAACTGTAATTATTGATTTTGTACTTAACGATTTAAAATACAATGAAGTAAATCTTATGGGTTCGAGAAAAGACAAATTTATGTGCCACTTACACGGAAGCAATTTGAAATTAATGATTTCATTTATGGCATATTTGATAAAACTTAAATATTGATTTTGTAATGCTAAAAGTTTGAATAAATTATAAATTTTGCAACTTACATATAAAATTTGTAATTGTGAACAATGACTGCAGCATTCCAATTTTTAAAATTAAAATTTACACTTTCGGTTAATTTTTTTAAAATTTGTAAATTTTTTAAATTATAAAATGTGAACGATGATTGCAGCATTCGATATTAAATTTATTCAAGAATATGAAATTTTAAAATGGTAGAAGAACTACGTGATTAAGTATAGAATCTTGTAATACACATTTCGAATCAAGTACACAGTTAAAAACTAGTACACATTTTCAATAAATTATACAAGTTTGAATAAATTATACACATTTTAAATTTTGCAGTACACATTTTGAATCAAGTACACATTTTGTAATACACATTTTAAATGTACGACCCCGTTTACAAATAAAGAATTTAAAAATACATAATTAAATGATCTATTACAAATAAAAAAGTTAAAAATGATATATTACAACATACAAGTATTACATAGTCTTCATCGACCAAGTCGCGCCGGACATGTTCACCTGTCATGACCTGTCTGGTGGCACTCACTGCAACGAGCTGTCAAACGCCTGTCTGATATATCCATCTCATTCGGAATACGAGCCATAGATGTACGACCCCGTTTTACTTCTCACAGACGAAGTTCATTAGGCATTAAGGTCCATTGTGGATCATCCCAATAATCTTGATGCGGTATTGGATTGAATTTAGTTTCCCAAACCCTCATGTATACAGGAAGCCTATATACTGGATCAACGTACTGGAATGGATTATCACCGCATTCAGACATTACAGCGAGCATATGGGAACATGGATAGTGTCTTATCTCATATTTTCCACAACTGCACGTGGGTTGATTCATCCGCACAATCTGTCTATTGCGACCTCGTCCACGGCGAAAAGATGTTTGCACCTCAAATACACGGCGGGGCCTATAAGACAATATTGATATAAACTAATCAAGTTCATGTTTTTAGGTGTAATTAACTTAACAACATAATAACAACAATTTTTTCACATTACAAACTAACCTGTCATACGATATCAACTGGAAAGTATTTCCCCTTGCGATACTCTCCTCGATAGTTTTTTGTATCTCTCTAGGGTATTGGAACTCATTGCGTACATCTGTTTCAACTTGGGCTCCCATCTCGTCAAAATATTTGACGAGCCGTCGAAATGTAAATTCAACCATAACTGAGATTGGTAAGTTCCTTGCACATTTCAAAACGCTGTTGAAGCACTCTGCATCATTACTAGTCAATACCCCCCAGCGATATCCACTGTCATATGCAAGGGCCCAGTCATCAGGATTCATCTTGTGCACCCAATTGATGGCTTCTTGGTTAATAGCCTGTATCTGATCTAAGTAACCATTACACTTTCGTCGTTGATCAGCACTCCCTGCTTTTCCATAGAAGTTGTTTGAGCTCCTTATTTTTGAAATGTGTGTTAAAGTTACTGCAAACATGTCGAAGGCAGTGCCGATGATATCCAACAAATTGGAGCGAGGGATTCAGCTAATGCCGCCTCACAGTAGCTAAAATACTCTCAGCTCGATCAGATATCAAAGTCACTCCCTGTCGGTCTATGACAATATGTTCCTTGATATTTTGAATGAAGAACGACCAAGACTCCAAACTCTCCCTGTCGACAACAGCGAATGCAAACGGTAATATTTTGCCATTAGCAGTGACAATCGTTGCTACAAGCAACACACCAGTGTATTTACTGTATAAGAATGTATCATCTATAGTTATAACAGGCCTACAATATATAAAGCCATCGATGACGGGTTTGAACGACCAGAAAACAAAGTGGAAGACGGGCATAATGGTTGTATGCCCGGTATATCTGTGCTTCCATGTCACGATGGTGCCAAGATTAGATGTCTGTAATGCATGCATGAATTTAGGCAATTGCCTATATGATTCATCCCAATCACCGAATACCATTTTAAGTGCCTTTGCCCTTGCATGCCACGCTTTCTTGTATGATATACTATAGTTCATGGTCTTTTTTATATCTTCGATCACATTCTTAATTGGCATATCAGGTTCATTCTGCATACGACAATCAAATATGAGTTGGATTATCTAGGTGTGAACACTATAAACAAACAAATATGTATATATATGTAAACATTTATTTTTTATACTAACCGCAACTTGTCCCAAAATATGAGAAGCAATGTAACTAGAGCTAATATTAGTGTGGTCCCTATTCATTCGTGGGTATAAACAATGGTGAGGACCCCTGTACTGCTTTATTTCAAAAAGACCACGTTTCCTACTAAGAGATGCACGCAACTACCAACTGTAGTCGTGCTTGCAAGCAGACACCCAAAGGTCTCGCTTGGAGGTTACTGAGGCAAGTTCCAAAACATACTTCTAATAAACCAAACATTTTCAATGTTTCACAACTTAAGACATATATAAAAGCTCTTAAGTTCAACAATAGTTCAAAATTTAAAGACAAGATTACATATCAACAAACAAGTTCGGAGTGGTATGATGGCGCTCGAGCGGTGCAGTTTGGTGAGGTGCAGTTTTTGACCTAAACTATACATCTGAAGAAAATTTAATCTTGTCTTTAAACCAAACTGCACCTCGCCCTAAATTTTCTTCATCACACATTTCATTGTCATCATCGTTTACGGCGACATCAGGATCGTACATATCACTGTCAGCAAACTGCACATTGTTCACTGTTTCTGCCATATTACCAGCAACTTCAACCGGAGTGGTATGATAGCTGCATGTGGGCACATCTTGTGTGTTATTGTCAACTTCATAATCATATCCACCACGTGAACTTGATTCTACACCATGGCCCTGAAATGACTATTGTGTGTAGCACAGTGGATAACATTGACCTGATTCATACATAGGAGACTGAAAAGCTGTTGTGTCAATTCCATGCGTCAGCAATGTAGTGAACGGACGAGAATCCATTTGTGCCATGTTGGGGATATTGTGTACAACCTCTTTATCAATGTAGACTTCCAAACAATTTGGTGCTTGAAAACTTGCATCGATACTTAATATGGTGTTCAACGCCTCATCGTCATTGATCGGTAATATCTTGTATTTGTTGTGCGTTTGCCACTGGCGATAAGGATATCTACATTTGAAGGTCAATCGGACACTTTCCCCGTAACTTGCCACCTTTGACATAAACATCTCCTCCAAATTGCTAAGCGTGGTGCCAATTTGCACCGCATATATCCCTTTCGGCTCAGCATCATATGAGACGACTTCATCGGGATCCCGAATTATGTTTCTCCCCCAGTAGAAAATTATTGGAACAGTCTCCATATACTTGTTTCAATTAAGACAAAAAATATTAAAATAGCAACAATATACTTATATCTCCTCGTACTTGTAAAAGAATTATATGAATTTTAACTCATTCAATTACAATTACTTGTGACACAAAAACTTTATTTAAGTAATCAGCAATTGTAATCCAACAAGCAGTATTGATTTTTGAATTAAAATATGAGTTAAAATAATGATAATGCTTTAGATTTTTTAGCTTTTTAAGAAACAAAGCTTACAACACATATAAAATTAATATCATGTTCTTCTGTTATGCTTTTTACATTATTTATTATGATTAAGATCATGCTCTTGTGCACACTAAAACAAATTCAGCTAAGTTTTAGGTCTGAAAATCTTTTATTAATTTTGTATAAATTATAAAAAAAATTATTATAAATTATAAAGTAACAACATTTGTAATCATTAAATAAATATAATTGATGTAAGTTGATTTAGGTAATTGATAAATTATAAATCTAAGTAATTT